TCTCTGTTTTTTTATGGGGGGAGGGGGGGGGATTTGGAGGGGGTTGATGGGTAGTTTGTTGTGATTGTGCTATGATCTTCTAGATTGACGTGTAATTATTTCCACTGGAGTTTCTTTTAGGGGGGAAAGGGGGGTTACAGAAGCCATATATTAGCTCATGGTACCGGCAGAGATTTCTTTTGATGTGAATGGTAGCTGAAAGGATAACGTGGTTCTTTGTTGTATAGTGATAGAAAGTTCTTGTTTGTATAAGATTACGATTGTATTATTGTTTCTTTGGGTTCAATGTCCTTTGTGAGAGCTTTTTTCGATAATGGGAAGATATATGAACAATAACAATTAGATTGTTTTAGAAGCGGCGGGTAGTACGGATTTCTATTTTATGTGTGGTCAGTTTAACCTTTTCTTGTAATAATGATAGGTATCAGTAGCTTCTTTCACCCTTCCAGACTCGAAAGGAAGGGCGAATCGTGCGCTCCCAAAGTGGAGAAAATATACCTGGTACTATATCCACTTTTTCAACATATTCCCCGCAAAACAAAGTCTTTGGTCAACCAGGCAACGTTTCCAAGCATTTGAGCCTCAATTCGGCCTAGTCATCGCATCCTCCACTTTGACGTGCACGTTCTACGATTCTAGAAGGGGGTCATGTAATTTTCCTTTTAGCAGTGTTAAACTCTTGTTATGATTCGGGCAGCAAATAACTAAATATTCCCCGATAATCCCAAACTATTTGTATCTAGAACCCAGGCCGGCAGAGGCAAGATCATTTAACCAAGTCTTTACCCATTCTTCTTCTCGCCGACAGCTGCTTCATAAGCCCCCAGCTTTTGGGGCGCCACCTTCTTCAGTGTCTCTCTGACAACCTCCTCAAACTCGGCCTGCCTCTTGCTTTCCTCCTCTTTCCAACGGGCGTATGCACGAGCTTCGTTGGGTTCTAGCCAATCTTGTTGTAGAGCTTCGAAATCGACTTCCTCTGATGGGAGACGTGGAAGAGGTTTGTTGCTACCTGAGAATCGGGATCCACACGGTCTGCAGAGATTTTCGCATTTAAGTTCTTCGCCGATGGGACATCGTTCCGCTTTTCCCTGACCACCGCTGCAAAGCAACTTTCTTGTGAGCAATCTCAGGGAGGGCATCTTGAGAGGGTGCTGGTGGGGTGGGGTTGTGGAAGTCGTCTAGTCAGTCGACGGGGTTCGGCAAAATGACTGAGATTTCTCGATACCTCTGTTTCGTTGTTTCCACAACAAACAAAGGCCTCCAAACAGCATCTTCCGGACACTTTAAAAGGACAAACATCTTCTCAAATGCATTTCTCAAATCTATTCATCAAACAGCGACTATGCCTTCCCCAAAAGTCATCCGGAAATTAAAAGACCTCACCCACAAAGTTAGCGACTCGCTCTCCCCGCCTGTAGGGAGGTCCTGTCCTAGCTGTAAAGCACCATGGGAACTCGGTAGGAATGTGTGTCCTCATTGTGAGCATACTGAGATGCATCCGAGACCGATCATGGTTGATTCGAAGCCCCCTCTTGGGTCTAATGTAGCTGGTGTTTTTCAGTTTGACAGACAGCGGAAACCATAATAATGGTTGGGCGCTGATTGTGAGTTTGTGAGGAGAATATACAACATTAAATATAACAAAAATTTAATTTCCGTCATCTATACATCATCAATGACGATATTGTGATTGCCTAATTTTGATGACAATAAATGGTCGTGATTTTCAGTGTGAGTCGGAGGGAAACACAGAACTTGAGACATGGGAGTTTGGAAGCAAAGAAATACCACTGTTCTCCCTTTTATTCAAATGGCATATCCTTCATATCTCCAGAGGATCTCCATTTCGCTCTTTATACATCTTCCACAAAGCCCCAGCTTACCAGGAGATAACGTTCATGGGATCATCCTAAGAAGCAGTTGTTTTCTGCCGAATCACTAGAGGCAATCTACATCCTGGAAAAACCACAACAAGAATAACAGAACCACCCCACTGTAATACAACGGTCCAACTCTCAAAATTTCATTGTTTGTGATTAATGCTTTCCACCCATCAACCCTCATCCTTACAGCTCTTGATACACGTTTCCACTCAGCCTACTGGTATCATTTTGGGTGTAGCATCTTTGAGGGGTTTCTAACCATTCGTGAAATAACGTAAAATGTCCAGGCCTCGCTAGCATATCCTCGATATCCAGTCCGAAGATGGGGCGGCTTGACGCAGTATCTTCGCTTGAATCTTGCGAAACAACTTCTTGGAAGGCTCGTTTCCGCAATTTCGAGACCTCGTGTATAGCCTCTTTCTGTTCGGATTCAGAAGAGAAGTTGAACTTAGCGAAACAACATGTCCGCAACATCGAGGATATCTGCACCGAGAATAAGACGATTTGAGGTTACAAATGTTGTTTTGTTTCCAGGGGGGCCTCTAGAGTTCCGATCCGCTTTTTCACAAATGATATATGGTTCGTTGGATGCCGGGTATCTGCGGCTACGGCATCCCAATTGTACATTTAGGTCGGAAACGAGGTAATTGTAAATCCTAAATCGTAAAAGCTATATATTTATTCTTACAAATATGTCTATACCCCTACAACCCCACTCTTAGCTTTACGTGCCTAGGTATTTTCACGTGTATTTCTATTAATCCCCGGACCTTACTATCGCCTACCTTCGCTGTCGAATCCTTGCTGTTGTAGTATCCTCTCTATTTTATAAGCGTTATACCCTGGTAGATTGTTTAGAAGATAGAGAGAGGGGGGGGGTAGCGGTGGTAATGGAAGCTGGGGAAATATTTTAGTCATATGTGTCGCTTATTCCCAGCCCCTAATACTACCTTCCTAAAGAGGCTAGGCTAGTACGTAAGACGCTAACAATTGTTTACTACTTACCCCTCCTTCTCCATCCTACTTCTCCTTCCTACTCTCTTTCTTCATAATACTACTCTACGACAGCGATAACAATAGTAACGTCGAGAAGTAGCCTGGAATGCGAATAGGCCCTCCACTGAACCCCCTTTTAGTCGCATACTACGCGACGTACCACTCCTTTAGAAACCGACGATTCTTGTTTGTTGACGAACACTACTTGTTCTAACTCCATTTTAGTTTTTTTCCAGAAAGAATAAATTCTGCTTTAGAATTAGTATGGATACAAATATATCCCTTCTAGGGTATCGAGGAATAAAAAGAACGTGCACTCGAAACTGGTATCAGTGGATGCGATAACTGGGTCAAATTAGGGCTTAAAGGCTTGGGAGTGTAGTCTGATCAATTGAATGGCTTTGTTCTACAGAGCAGAGGGTGTAAAAAAGAATACAATTTCTCCACTTTAAGTGTCCCTCTTTCACGTCGGTTCATCTGCTTCTGATAGTATTAACCCGGAACTCGTTCGCACTTAAGTACCGTATTAATTTGATTATAAGATAGCATTATTTAAATAAAAAATCCGTCCTAGGGCCTATTTGAACCGTATCTTATATAAAAACTAATATCTTATAACTTATAATAATTTTGCCCTACTTTTTGGTGTGGTTTACCAACCTCCTGTGAGAGGCCAGACCTCGAATAGCTCAAAGGTGTGGTTTCGAATATTCAATTAAGAAGTGCGTGAAGACTACGTACATGCGAGCTCTTCCTCTACATATAGAGAGGAAGAGCTTCCTGAATATTCCAAGAAACTTGCAAGAAACTTGAATGACGAATACATGATGTCAGAAGAACAAAACAAGAAAGTGTGGAAAAGTAGAAACCTGTTTGGCAGTGGGGTAATGGCCAGTGCTAAGCAGGGACTTTGGTCAGTGCTCAACGAGGACTTTGGTCAGTGCTTAGCGAGGGCATGGCCCGAGCCTCCATCATGGGTTCCAACCCTCACACCTCCTCTCCTAACCTCTATGTTTTACCCCCAACCTCATCTAATCTACACTATTTAAGTACATTATTAAAGCAAGAATAGGACGTGGAATGGGTCCTCGAAGAGGCAATAGGGGGGTAAATATGCGGGGTATCTGGGAATAGCTTTAGTTTTTACAAAATTTATATACGGTCTTTTTGTAGCTTAACTTTGAAATGCCCTCTTAGCTATCTATTACTATAATTGTGAGTGTTTTAGCTAATGTGGTGGTATTGAATAAAGCATCTGAAAAAAATATAAAATTATAGATTTGATATTCTAGCCTTCTGATTGGTTAGGGTTATAAGATATCAGTTTTTCGGACCACATGGAACTGTCGCTATACGAATATCGAGTGAATACTTAGTATGAGTTATAGCACGTGCAAGTTGGCCTTAGGGCTAGCAGGGGCGTTAGCGCCTTGGCACTGCTATATAATAGTGAGCACCTATAACCTTTACTTAGTATATACATCTAATAGTCGAATATAATGCTATTCTATTTATATTAATACTTTGTCTAGACTCTCTATTAGAGTCAAACCAACGGGAACCATATCTACTAAAGTAGTAGTATCTTATTCGTAAATAATATCTTAAAATCCAATTAATACGGCATTGTGACTAAAGGATGGCATTTGGTTGGTCTTAGTCAGGTGACGAGACAGTCTTTTTAGAATTCTGGATTGACAGTTTATCCTGATGGCTTTTTCTGATTAATTTCAATTTGACAGGAATAAATACCAATGCTCTTGCATTTCCCTTGGTCTTATATCTGGACATCAAAGATCTGGATAGTCCTTGTAGTTCAAGGTAGCTTGTTTTTGCCTTCATCATCATCATCAGCTCCTGGGACAATATTACAATGCCACGATTTTCATATTATTCTTTTCCCTAAGTGAGTGCAAAAGACCTAATTGAACCCAACCCTATATTGAATCGGTTGCGCGAACGGCTTGGAGTAGTTGAGTATGGCAAAATTATAGTAAACAGGATGGATGCTCTGAAGGGGTCTACTGTTTGTTATTTGACATCTGGAGTTTTAAATTGTGTTAATTGCTCAATCTGCTCGAAGTAACGACCAGACTTTTTACAAACGACCTCTTAAATAAAGCTGAAAATGCCAATCAAATGATATGAAAGCAGACATACAATGCGCGGAATTCTACAAGTCTTCTTTAAGAATCCTTCTCATTAGCTCAAACAAATAGTATCTCGTCATGATGACATGGTTGCGACTCGACGGTTGGCGTGGAGCTAAGCCGCTAAGCGAGAAGTGGAGCCTCTAGGACGACAGCAATCCTTGCCCTGAGCCAAGATAAAAAGCTTAACAAGAGGTGATTGTAAACCTGGTCTCACTACGAGCAAAAAGATTCCTCAAATATACGACCTCGTGGCTCGTTGGCGAGCACTGCCGCTTTACAGTGCGACTGACGAGCACACACTGCGACGCCATTCCACATTTTCCCAGCTCCCTCGGGTATCCACTCTTCTCTAGGAGACTGCCGTCGGAAGACATCCAGCAGTTTCCTGTCCAACATGAAACCAGATATGAGACGAAGAGGTTCCCGCTATAACGGTAGCACAAAGTCCAAATCCGGCATCTCCGCCGAGTCGAGCCCGCTACAAAAAGTAAAGACGGAAGTTCTACTTCTCTTCCACGAATTGCCAGATTGGGCAAAGGATAATGAATTCATTCATTCTGGTTTCAGACCAGAGACAAACTCGTATTGGAAGTCGCTTAAGAGTATGGGGTATATCCATAACGAAACTGGCAACATATACACCCACTTCTTCGCAGCCCTATGGATGTTCATCTTAGGATCATGGTGGAGTGGTTATGCAAAGGAGCGGTATCCAATCACCACTTTTGACGACACTATTGTCTTTTTCCTGTTCTTTCTAGGCGGGGCGATCTGCTTCCTTCTTTCAACAGCTTACCACGTGTTTTCAAACCATTCGCATGCAACTCATCTCTTTTGTCTGAAACTCGACTTCCTAGGCATACTCGTCGTAACTGCTGGATGTTTTCCTCCTGGCCTCTGGTACACTTTTCCGTGCGCACCACGTCAAACAAAGTTTACATGGATTGCTGTAAGTAATACTTATGGGTACTTCTACCTATTCTGGGAAGTAGAGAGCAATTCACAAGTTGGATCGCTGATAAAATCCATGTAGTTCGATCTTGCCGCCCAATTTTGTGCTGCCCTCCTGGTTCTGTTTTCAAAGACCTTTCAGTCTTCTAAGATGCGAGCTTTTCGCGGCTTTGTATTTTCTGTCATGGCATCTTCAGCTTTCTACCCAATTATAATCAAGATCTTTCAAGTCGGCTGGACGCAGGCAAATGCTGAGTATGGAGCCTCGTTATATGGCTTAACAATTATCATATATCTATGTTCTGTGACGACGTATGGGGCAAGTCGCCTCCATTTGGATAGGCACTGGGCCTATGCTAACATTCTGTACAGATGCGCGTGACAGAGGCTTGGAAACCCGGATACTTTGACATATGGGGTCATTCACATCAAATATTCCACGTTGGTATGGCGATTGGACTTACCGTACACTTTTTGGCATTTTTTAGGGCTGTTGATCAATTTTATGCTGTGAAGCATGGCTACTGCCCCGATTAGAAGATCTCAACGATGCCTGGTTCAGTATGGTTGCGCATATCTTATTATGCTTGACATATCATCCTTCGCGTCTCTACAGCTGCTATATACATCAAAGTTGGCGTCTAGATGCTGATATTGAAAGGGGACTAGAAAGCGCACCCAGGACAGCATGAATGATTAGCGTTCGAGTTTATAAAAAGATGTCAATAGAACTAGAATAATAACAAAGTTGTTTTCTTGACCCAACAAAAAAGGCACAGGGGGTCTTATGTGATAGAATCAACTTGACTTCTGAGGTGAAGGCGTCGTTCCGTGCATAAGGCATTCATATCAAACCCTTATAGCACCCAAGAAACCAGTCTCGTACAGTACATGTACTGTCCTACCGTGCCCCTTCGCTTAGCCCCCCATATCAAGCGAGCGATTGCCAACCTTTGGTCTTGACCGGTTCATTGTAACGTGCCTGTTTGTTTTTCAGAGTAAAAGCGTGGTCTTGCTCACAAAATCCTATTATTTGCCCTCAAACCTGCCAAGTATCTATGACATGGTTCAATTTCAATTCTCACACACTCTCGATATTTGCTTTAACAACTCACAACACGTTGCTCTTAGTATTCTCGAGCAACATGCGTCATTCTTACTTTTGATTGTTTGCAATGATACAACGAAATATTTCCACCATATTTAATAGATGCTCATGTTCAGATTTTGTGGCTATCATTGTTCATTCACGTATTACTGCGCAAAAATTTCATATTTGATTTTTCGGCACCATTTTAAGCGAGACTCTTGACTTGAAGAAAAACCACTGCAAAAACGAGCATTTCTAGGAACTTCCACAAAATCTATCACCTAAAATTTGAAAGAATGGGTTTAATTTTGAAGCGAATCCAGAAAGAGAGGAAAGCTAGAGAAGAAAGCTTTGTCAAAAACGGAAAACGGGATGAGGTAAGAGTCTCGCTGAGTGGCCCCGTTCTTCAACCAAGATGTTTGGTCTCTACTTTAAAACAAAAGAACCTTGAAATTTTCAACGGCCGTTGGACGCAGAGATAGTGTTGCTTTCTAACATTTTTCTGTCCAGGAAGTCTTCAAAAATGGCCAAGAAATCTATCTATATCGTGATGGAGACCTCACGAAAAAGTATATCAAGGGCAAAGTGGTCGACAAGATTACAGTGGTCGATGGCGAGAAGGATAGTTTATATAAAATTGATTCCTCTCCGGTAAACGTGCCTTCGAGTTACTTGTTAAACGCAAAGGATGGAAAAGACTTGGCGGATGAGAAAGAAAGAGAAAAGGAGGATGATGCAAAAATGCGGGAGGGCTAGGCTTGCCCAGGACCAGAAGTGGCTTTCTTCCACTCAAGTCTGCAGTATACTTGTCTAGTTTTGATGAATTAGGCAACTCGGATAGATTTTGATTAGACTTCTGCTATGAAGCTAAAGTGCATCTATTATGTGTTATTATTTCATATTAGATGAAAGAAATGACTGAATAAAATTGTTGTAGAGTTAAATAGAATTACATATTTCATAATTGGTGCCTGATCGTTCCTCTATGTACACTATATAAAAGTCTATTACAATAAACTTGTAGTACAAGCAAGATAATTGTCTTAGGATACCTAGGTTGGTGAAAAGTATGAGTTGACAATTATTCAAGCTCTTTATATAACTATTGTAATCGTACGATGTTTTTAGAATAATTTTATTCCAAGAGAGGTGTGTACAGACTAACGACTATGTCTCTTATATAAATACGGCATCCCAATTGTACACTTAGGTCGGAAATGGGGTAATCGCGAATCTCAAAAAGTCTTTACAGTATATTGTAGGAAGAGCCCGAGAATAGAGTCATTTCAAAAGATTTCGTCTAATCATTCTATATTATACAAGTTCTCTACAAGTGTGCCCCCTTGCGGCTCGTTTTAATGCCCCTATTTCCGCACCACCTTCCCTAATTAAGATTGTCTCGTATGCACTAACTATATACCTCTACTCTCGTAGGTTTTGTTGGAAACCCCCCTCCCTTCTTGCTATCGCTATTGCTATCGCTGTCACTATCGTAAAGTGTCATTATAACGAAAGAGAAGAGAAAGTAAGAGGGAGAGAGAGTACAGAAAAGTAGTAAACAATTATTAGCGCGATACGTGCGCCGGTTATATACGTGAAAATGCTTAGGCCCATGAAGTCTAGGGGTAGGGGTGTGGGGTTATAGAGATAGTAGTACTAGTAAATATACAACTTTTGTGATTTGCAATTGACAATTACCTCGTTTCCAACCTAAGTGTACGATTAGGATGCCGTAAGTATTCACCGGTCCATTTCTCTAGTAACAAAGACACATTGAAACTGGATTAAATTGTTTGGGTCTCTTCGGATACTCCAGTCTAATGCCTTGCTGAAACTTATCTCTCAGATATCCACATATTTAGTGATAGTCTTAAAAATGTTTATAAAGTGATATTATCCAAGACTAAGCGAGCAAAATGATAAGTGTACTACAGTCGAACAGATTAGCTCTAGGGATAATAAAAAGTGTATTGAATATGCCAGAGATGGGTTTTCAAGCTCGTCTACAGTTTTCAGAAGATTTATTCAGGCTACAAACCCGCAAACAGATTACACCATCGGTAATTTTCAGGCCGTTAAGAAGTACAAAAAGAGACTAGTTCTGAAAGGAAAATCAACATCTTATCATTATCCTAATACTCTTCCTCATCCCTATCAGAAATCTCATTGTTTCCCTCAATATAGCCCTCTTCTACTGAAAAATAATCCTCCCTCGGATTAATACCAGACTAGAGCCACGACTCCATTCCAAGAACCCAGAGTCATTTGACGGTTGAAAATTTGACTTTACTCTCGGTGTAGAACCCGCAGGAAAGACTCGTAAAGGTGGTCGAGTATGATTGTATCTCTGATGCATCTCATGGCTCTTTTGTCGTTCTTTGAGTTGAGGCGACGGTATTTGTCGTGGCTGATGGTAAACTTTCCGAGATGAACAGGCTGATTGTGGTTGGGACCTCTTCCCTTGGGGATCATACTCCAAAGGGGTTCTCTGGGACGAACGGAACCCTTCGTGAGAGCTATGGCTTACCGATTGTTGGGTCTCGTGCTGTGTTGGATGGTAATTGGTGTTATGAAGCCATTCGCTGGAGTCGTGATCGTCTGCTCGAAGACCCTGATTTCGAGAGTTGTCTATGGAGCTACCGAAGACCGCGTCATACAGGTAAGCATCGAACATCTGAATTGTCAGTGCGACTCTCTCAAATTGCCGATAATCCAATTTAAAGCAAGGAGTAGGTGAGTCTTCGGCTTCGACTTCTTCCTCGTTCCACCGTTCTATTAAAACATTTTGCATATCGAAGTATGCAAGCGAATGTTCAATCTGAAAAGAATTACGGATCTGTCTCCCATTCCATCTCTCGTAAGGCTTGTGATTATCAAAATGCCAAGCTGCGTAGTCGAGGATGCTTTTATCGTCAATCTCGATGATTGGTCGCACAGGAGCATTAGGCGTATCAACCGAGGAGATTTCCTTGTCCTTTTCGATTTCGTGCAATTTTTGCAAGTTGACATCGTAGATTGCGAGCGTTTGTTTCTTAGTAAGTGGTTTGTAGTACAATGATAACTGGCAACGAGAGCGGAAGCCTTCATCAAGTGTTCCAACCCGGTTCGTGGTCAAAAATAGAATCCCGCTGTAATATTCCAGTACACGAAGAAAGACAGCATGTATGTTAGCAAGACTACTGTACTATCAAATCGAGATTGAGAAGTACGATTTGGAACTCACCTGATACGAGTGCGTTTCTAGTCAGGTCACTCACCTCTCGCCGAGACAGAAAGATATCTGCTTCGTCTAGTAACAAAATGCAGTCCCAAAGATGAGCTAGGCGAAATATATCTCGCAGGGACGTCTCAACCTCTTTTGGTGTAATTTCCAGATCTCCACAAGTAATGGAAAAAAGTGGTTTTTTGTGGGCTCGAGCAATTGCCTCAGCAGTGGCTGTCTTGCCCACCCCCGGCACTCCGTGCAGCAAAATAACCAGCCCCGATCCTTTCCCTCGAATGAGGTCCTGGTTGGAGCTGATATCAGGTCTCTGTCTCTGAAAGTTTCTTTTTTGGAAATGCATTTTGACTAAAGATTTAACTAGTCGCTTATGATCTTTGTCAATCTTAAGATCCCGGAAAGCATCTTGTGATTGGGGAATAGTTGTCAATAACTGAATATCTGCCATAACGAATTTTCGCTCTCGCAAAGCGTAAGTAACCATGCGGCCTGGTAAGAGAAGAATGTCATCGCCTTCGATTTGTGCAATGTGTCGGTATTTTTGCCATGCCTTGACTGTTTCGTTTCTATTTGCGTGAAGCTTTTGATGATAGTTGCCGGGCATCTCGTTCTGCTGTATGACCTCCCTTATTTCCTCCAAAGGGTATGCCATAGTATCATTTTCCCAATGTTTGATTGAGATGTTATCTTCAATTTCAGACCAGCCACCAGTGTTAGGTCGCTCTGAACCCCGGAAACCGAACAAAGGGGGCTGTATAGAGCGGTCTGCCTTGAATCCTTCCTCAAAATCAATGATATCATCCCCCTCAATATATTCAGAGTCCTGCCTCATGTTGGCATTGGGAACGTATCCATGGGTGAGCGTCCAACCATTATAGTAGAAGTGTTTTTGCTTGACAGCTCGTTGGAAGCTCTCTCCTTGGCTGCGAAACTTTGCCTTCATACTATGGAAGTCTCGGGCAAAGCGCATGGGATATATTGTTAAAGTTCCGATATCCCTATCGCCTTCGTACATCTCAATGTTGAAGCCTTGGGCAACTGGTCCGTATGAAGACCCGTCCCAGTGAAAGCGGTAAGCATTAACCAGAAACTTTCGAGCAGGATCGATCTTTGTATCAATATTTGCATTCTTGGACTTTTCTAGGACCAGAGAATACAGTCGCCAGGCGCTTTGGTAGATCATGTTTTTTGTTGCTGGGTTCGTCGATTGGGAGTCTTGCGACAAATCAGAAACTCCTGGGAAATAGAGCAGGTCGCCAACCACAAAGTACATCCACAAATCACTCCAACGCACTTTTCGTTGGTTGGTGCCGGCAGCACGTTCCCATATAGGAACTATGTGCTCTTCCACAAACTTGATGTATATTCGCACATGTTTAAGAGCAGTCGGAGAATTTGCGACTTCCCCAGAAACAGCCACGTGTGGTTCCATGATCTCGAACTCGTCTACGCGGCCATCATTTAAGGATGAGCCTGAAGAGGAGCCAGAATCTATATCATACGTTATTTTGATTTCGCCCTTTGATCTCTCGGACTCGGAATGATTGGCGATTGTATTCTGCTTCGAAGATAGTTGAACTTCTTCCACCGACTTCAAGTCCTCTTGCGGTTTTTTCTGTGTCCAATTCTCTTCCAAGCTTTCCAAGCATTTTTTGATCTGTGGTAAAAAATGATACAAGGTCCGAAATGGTCGTACGAAAACCCGGGGTGTCTCTATGTTCCATTTTACTTCGTTGCCAGTCAATCGCGCTAGTAGCAGAAGTAATGAAGGTGACTGGATCCGAACACGATGAATCCAGGATGAGCTACCAATTTTGGTCTGCGTTTCCAAATCCGACCTTCTCAGTGGTACCTGCCTGCGTCCCTCGGAGATTTCCTGAGCGATGTTTTGATGCCCTCGCAGAACCTCAATGATTTCAAGTCCTTCATTGGGGCCATACCGGTTTTTAAATTGAAAGAAGTTGGACCACTTGACATCAATGACCTGCTGCATCTTCTGTCGCTTGACTGTCCAAGAACCATCTTTCCTTTCTACAACATCGTCTTCATCACCCTTGTCGAAAGGCAATATTCCTTCGCAAAGTGGAGCATCACCCAGCAGTGCATCTGTTGTGACATTCTCGACAATGGTATCTCTTGATCCCCCATCATGAACAGCTTCTTCTGCCAATTGAAGATCTGTTTGCTTGGACATTCTTCCAAAGTTGGATAAGGTAGGAATTCTAGCTGAGCTCAGGATTTAGCACGGGAGTACTCAAATTTTGAATTATCTTTACTTACAATGAAATTCGAGCGGAGAGAGCGGGCAGGACATCAGGGGCCAGCAGGCTGCTTATTGCTTGTTCATACATTTGAATTGGAAAAGGAAGCACGTCAAAACTTTAGAAAGAAGTTAAATCGATGGGAGATGTTGGAGGGGCATCATTTCAACCCTCTCCAGCCTTGTACGGCTTTGCTGTATCCTGATCTCTCTGCGGGAAATGTAACACAGCCGCTTTCTTCAAAGCGAGCCTTCCAATCATCACAGAATTATACTGTATCAGGCCATCCTGCTGTGTGATCATATGCGAAAAAGCCCATAAAAGCAGCATCGAATTTTAGATTCCAAGCTTCCATATAAGTCACTCGCCGGCTAATTATGAATACAGATTTTTACCATTCGCTCAGGTTAAGAGAATCGATCGTATGGATTACTCACACTTTCTTTTGTCAGATACTTATAGAACGAGGCAGTTCGAGGTGGCGCCATTAGTCAAATAATCGAAACAAGGCGCGAGGCTCAAATCACATTACTTGCTGGTATCCGCTACTCTGTTGCCCTGTTACACACTATGTGTGAGGGCTCGTATCCAATGCTGCCCCAGAGGTTTGTCTAGCCCAATCCCGTATTACTTGCATTTGAGTCCATGTAGGTGGGCTTGCTCGCAGCTCCGATCCAAAAGCGGTCGTGAATGGCTCTCTCGCTGTTCCACTTGTCAGCCGAGTTTTCTAGTTGCTCTGGATCTAAGCGAGACAGGCAAGTAAAATCTCCAAGACGATCGTCCCCTAGATACAGATAGATAGTCGAAATGGTTTGACCTGGAATGTCAAAAAAACAAGGCGATTACATAATGATGCCAACCACCAAGCGAGGTGTTACACGACACTGGATGAGGACAAACAAGAGCGCGAGCTGCTGACCATAAGCAGCAAGCAGCCACTCGTATGTCGTTGCACGTATTATGGAACAGCCACCGTCGCGCATTGGCTGTGTAAACATACTTCTCACGTATCCGATTTTCCACCGGCTCATTAAAGTCTCATTTCTCCTAAGTTTGCTACCAAGGAGTCCGACTTAGTTTTGCTCAAGCCTTGCCAACTTTAGTACTATAGCGGTATTCGCCAGCAATGGATTTGAGATGGGAAGTACCCAGTGAAAGAGAGGTATCGAGCGTGGCTACCTTTATCGATTCGGAAGGAGGGAAACTCCATGCCGGATTCGGTGGTACATCACATTTCAGTATTTCTAAGAGGGAGTTTATACCTGACCAGCCCTATTTGTAAAAGGTCCTTACCAGAAGGCAGATAGTCTTCGTGATGTGCTTTTTCCCATCTAACCAATTTAAAAGGCAGCTAGCACAGGCACTGAGAGAATATATACGCCAAAACCTGCGAATTCCATTCGAAGGGGAATATCAGGGGAAAGTGGGGGATGAACTATGCGAGAAGATTCTGCTAACAGAAAAACAATATGGTGATCGTACTGGAGGCCGCTGGCACTCAATTTGGTACAAGATGGGTGGCAAGACAGACATGCTCGAAGGATGAGTCAACTTGATACCTGAAGAATATGGGCTTGCCGTGATCAAAATGGGGCTTGCGGTTGTCCTTAAGGTAAGGCAATATCTTATGGCTAACGAAATCCGAAAAAAACTTCAGAACTGATTTCGTTAGCTTTCGCAAGACTCAACAGAGAGACGAAACAAAGTTCTCGAAACTTTTGTTGAACTTCGGGATGCTCTTACTCGAGCAGACCCCAGAAGAACAAGTTTTCGTGGTCATACAGAGATCCGAGAATGTACGGGCAGTTTGTATCAGGTTGTTGTAGAATCAATCGAGGACATGATAGTGCTAACGTCCAAGGACAAAATGACATGTAAGATATAATAAATATTGCTCTTAGTGCCCAGAGAAAATAATTGATCAGAAACAAGGGCGCAATTGTATTTCAAAATTCAAAAGCAAGAAAACGCTTCCTGATACAGACGCCATTCTACAAAAGGTAGCAGACCATACCAAGGCATTTGAACGCGCCGTTGGATGGGCTCGGGACCAGATAATTGAAGAAACCGGAAATACTGCTCAGTACACCGCGTTCAGGACAACACTAACACATATGGACGTGAAAGCCATAAAGAAAGATACCGGCCTTCTCGTAACAGGAATCCAGAGATACGGTACAAAACTCGAAAGTGTTGGTGACGAGGTTGGCGAGGTGAGGATTGGTGTGGAACAGCTGACCACAGAAATGAAGAGGAAAGAGCAAAAATCTGAAAACCATGGCACAATTCTTAACCAAATTCTTCAGGCCGTAAAGACCTAGAAGAGCATCGCTGTGCAGGAGAGAGAAAAGGCCTTGGAGGCTAACTCGCTTGATAACAGAAATTTGCTCTTTCAGTTTCTCCTCGAGTCTAAAAGTAAGTCGAGAGAGTCTGGTCGGGTGGCTTAACATGGTTAGACCAATTGGCTAACAATCATCAACCACAGGAATGAGTGCTCTGATGGAAAGCTTAGAAGACCAACTTCAGCGAACCACAAGCCATATGTGGGGAATAAAGATCAGCCCAGAAAGATTCTGCCAAATTCTTGGAGAACCTAATTCTTCTCTTGATGAGCCACCAGATTTGGAGACCAACTTGCAACATGCAAATAAAGACTTGGCTTGGGTTCTCGTGCAAAGAGAAAGGTTCAAAGCGACTGACCAAAGCCAGGCCCAGTCGTTGGTTCGACACAGTCGATTTCTGGAATGGATGAAGGCTCGCGAATCGGACCTAATCTTTGTTGACGCGAACATCAGTGCTACTGGAATGGAAAAGATATCAGCGGTTTCACTATTCTCTGCAACCTTTGTCACTAGCTTACTCGAAATACAACCCGAAGATGTGGTAACTCATTTTTTTTGCGGACTACACCTGACTCCCCGGGTATGGACCGAATGGCTTGATCCGATCTCTGAGCATGCAGCTATTCATAAAACTAGTCGAACTAGATATCATAGATCTAGACTTCGTCAACGACAGAGAGTACTTCGAGTCCCTCGAAGAGCACGATTTGAGCAGTCTCTGCGAAACACTCACCTCGCTTATTTCACAGTTTCCGCCGGAGACAACAATCTTCTGTATCGTGGACTCCCTCTCATGTTTCGACAAGGACAAGACATTCGAGGATTTGCAAGTTGCTATTACATGGCTTCAGAACATCGTTGAGGATGGGTCAATGGCTCCAATCTTTAAGGTCCTGTTGATGACCCCGCTACATAGCAGTAGGCGATTGAGGATGCTTTCAGCATTCAAGAATGATCCCTCACGGCATGTCAGTTTATCCTCGCTTAACTTGATTCCTAACGCAATATCAAATCGATCACTTGAGACTTGTCTCTTACAATCAACACCTTCCGCGCCTCCGATATAAGACCATCTCATTCGATTTCGAAACAAGAACAATAATATAGTAACCGCGGGAGTAAGATTGATTTCATTTACTCATGTAAACTCCAACAGTACTAGAATTGTCAATTTATTAGCTTAATCACCTGAACAGGTAGACAACTGAATGTTGTGATTATCCGTAATTCCGGAATCTTTTGTATCAGCGAAGCAATGACCAAGTCCCTTACCATGATATCTTCCGTTTCAGTCCCCGATAACAAGACCACCCGGTTCGTCTACATACTGCAGATGTAACTTTTGGAATACCCGAACTCAAATACATTCCGTATATAACTCCGTTGCTATGCAGAATACCCACACCCCTTTCAAACAACCGACAAACTTTCCAGTGTATGAGAGAACTCCGGTACCAGATGTGCAATCTGATTGGGGTCTCGAAGTGCAATTGTCAAATCCGCAGGAAGCTTTCCAGAAGCGAGTAAATTCTGGAGAATCATTAATATCAGGATCAAGCCGAGGCTAATAAGATGGATTTTTGACGCCTACCGATTTAACCTTATCGAATGAATCTTCCCGTTCCGTGTAATCCCTAATCACTTTCCCCGTATTGAAGTCTACATAGATCCTTGTATCGCGTATTCTGATGAGAACGTCATCGAGCCTCATAAATAGTCGACATAGCAGTAACATGCGATCGGGCATGACGCGAAGCTTGCAGGAGTATAGAGAGATGCCGTTATCGTCGAGTTCACTTTCGTAAAGGACAACTTCTTCGAAGAAAAGGATTGGATCCGGTCTCTTGAGAAGCTCGATTGGTATTGGTTCCTCATTATTCTTTTGAATCTCGAACTCCTTTCCCTTCGTTGTGCCTTTGTAATCGGTTGTGTAGGACCAGTCGAAGGGTTTGACAACCTCCTTGATTCCTTCGTGGGTTTTTTCTCTGTACAGTTCAGTATCACTCTTAGTAGAGCACCCAAATCTCTAACCTGCTACTCGACCATTGCTTTGAGTATGCCACTTTGAGCATATTCCGATCCGTCTTGTCCACGCGATCCAGAGCATCAAACGCATTGAATTCTAGTCGCCATCCACTCGCCATATGTTCAATAGCGACCATATTATCTCCAAATATCATCTCAGGTACCGGAATTCCAAGCTTCTCATTCATTTCGTCAATTTCGTCGGATTTCGAAATCGGGAGCTTCCTGGTACTGATCTTGAAGCCTTTTTGCTTATGCGAAACCGTGAATTCATCCGCCCCCTTCCCAGAAAAGGGAAATGGCTCCTCAATTGGACCATTAAATGCCATGGTCAATGATTGGAAATCTGAGAATGGCGCTGGAGAAATACGTGAGGTGGAGCGGCAGTTTGTAGGGGAAGCTTACGATGATGCGGCTCTCAGCGTATCGCGGGGCAAACCCTTGGCGGGGAGAATACACCCTTAACGTACTTCATAAGGAGTCCGGATTTATAAGCAGTCCGGATTTTTTACCCCACCATCCAACTTTTAAAAACCATAGAACTTTAACCACTTAATATTTATTTATATAAACTATACTATCTTTCTTATTCTCGATCTGGGCACCTAGGAGCAGTATGCGCTAGTGATCTACATATACTACAGGTTCGTGGTGCACGAATTCGTGGTTCAATTAGCGGGGCCACAGCTTCATCCAAAACCATATTATCACTATTTTGAATAAGTTCCCTCCCTTCCTGACCTGTAAGAACACCCCCAGTAGCAATATATTGACGTCGCACAGTCTTCTTCTTCTTTTGACGTTCAGATTCAGCTCGTAAACGTCGATTTTCCTCTGCCAAAACCGTAGCTGATTGCATAGCCATCTTACACCCTTTAACCAATTGATCTAATGCAATAGCAGTAGGGCTTGAGAGAACGTTTGTACGTCGTTTAATAGATGCTTTAATTGTCTGGGTTTGCTGATCTGCCTCATATGTATTATGGGGTGTCTCAGGGACCCAAGGTAGTAGGTTTGGAGAAAGTAAAGGAGGAGTAGGCGTATGTAATTGAGTATGTAATTTACTCAATACTTGATCTGGGTTGTACGGGACAAGGCCAGTAGTTGCGAATCCATTACAGATTGTGTTTTTGACCATAGTACTTGTACGGGCTACACGATATATTGAAAGGAAGTCTGGTTTATCGATATGATATGTGCCGGCTCGTACTAGCTCCTCGACTCCTCGTCCATAAAGTCGCTTTAAAACTGCAAAGCAACTAACATCTAATGGCTGTAAAAGATGAGATGAGTGCGGTGGCATACAAAGCGTTATGATGTTATGTTCTGAACAGAAAAGATCGAATTCGGGAGTAGAATGACTACCATGGCCATCGAGGATTAAAAGTCGATATACTCCTTTTACACGGTCCTTGGTATATTTCTCAAATACGTCTGAAAGCCACTTAAGACCTAAGGAATCATTGGTCCACCCTTTATCACTAAGTGCAATTGTCCAATCTGCTGGTAATTGATCTGTATACCAAGTCGATATATGCACCTTGCCCTCAAATATAACCATTGGAGGCAACACCCATCCATCTGCACAAATTGATTCGACAACTGTAACCCATTCGCGATTCCCTGGTTGTATATGAATAGCCCGTCCTGTATATTCTGACCCTGTAACAACTTTTGCGGTCGCAATTACTCCCATCTGAAAGCCAGTCTCGTCGAAATTGTATATATCCTCCGCTAGTATACCATATTTCGCAACAATATTATGTACTAATCGAAACCAATCTCGGATAATCGTAGGATCCTCGCATTTTGCGCGCTTATAGTCGTATTTACGAGTGTATTTCGTCCGTAAAGAGTCGTGGCGCTTTATAAAGTTGTCAACCCAGCATTTTCCGACAATAATTCGACCTACTCCAGTTCGCTTTTCCAGTAGTAAATCGGCCATTTGGCGTATCGAATCTTTCCGTACTGGCAGACCTCTAGCTTCCATTGATAACATCCATTGTATAAGTGCTGATTCCTCGAGGTCGGTGAGTTTCTGGTTTCGGGGTCGGAAATCGCGTTGTGGAATAGCTCCCTTGACACGGTCGTAAGTAGTAGAATATGGCGCATCGTACCTTGTACAAGCTGCTTTTAAACTTGTAAATTGACCCTTATTGTATGCACTGATTGCAAGAGCAATTTGACCTTCTTTTCGAGACATTTGAACAATAATTGGGTAAGTTATGTAGATTGAAAGTGTGTAGGGTGGTCAATGGTGGGGTAAAAAATCCGGACTGCTTATAAATCCGGACTCCTTATGAAGTACGTCAAAGTCTGCTCGATGATGACATAATCCCATTCCCGATTCCGCTGCCGATGCCGATTCCGATGCCGACATGTTGCCGCTGCCGACATGATCCCGCTGCCGACATGATCCCGTTGCCGACATGATCCCGTTGCCGACATGATCCCGTTGTCAATATCGCGGCCGACTCCGATCCCGATGCCGATGCCTTCAAAATGGTTGTCCCTTCAACCCGCCATTGGCGCTAAAATCATCTTCCCAAAACATTCACGACCTCGACTTCCTTGATACCGCAACTTTCGACACCCAGCCCAACAAGCGCCACCATACTAACCAGCAGCACAGCAGGAAGACGACAAGTCTTGTTGCAACGTTCCTTTTGAATCACGTTTCCGTTGCATCCTTCTATTCATTGCTTCTTGCCCAATGGCCACGCGCGTACTCGAATCGCGGTTCGAGCATCTGTCGGTGAACGATGAGAACGAACCAAATGAGAATGGTAAATACCAGAAGTCCAAGGTAATTCTCACATTTCTTTTTCAGTAGGCCTAGCTGATACTCAGAAGATGACTTCTACCACCACAGTGACTAGCTCGCAGCTGTCGCAAAGCACAAACCGAGCCAACTTATTGAAGATCGCGCTGAATAATCAAAATACGACCAGCACAATCGTCACCGTTCCATCCCAAACTGCACAATGGCGAGGATCAAGGACACAGAATGGGTCTCCATCGCGAAGGGAGAATTCGGGTAGCGGTCAAGAAATTGAAGAATCGATGAGAGTGGAACGAAAATCAACAACAATGTATGAGCAACCAGCTCCACCAAAGCAATTCCACCTTGGGATGTTTGAGATTGGTCGACCGCTTGGGAAAGGGAAATTTGGGCGAGTATACTTGGTACGGGAGCGGAGTTCTAACTTCGTCTGCGCCCTCAAAGTACTACATAAGAACGAATTGAAACACGGCGACGCAGAAAAACAGGTTCGCAGAGAAATTGAAATCCAGAGCAACCTACGACACCCAAACATTCTCCGATTATTTGGGCATTTCCACGACAGCAAACGAATCTTTCTCATTCTCGAATTTGCTGGCAAAGGAGAATTGTATAAGCACCTTCGCCGGGAAAACAGGTTTCCTGAATGGAAAGCTGCACAATATGTTGCCCAAATGGCCGCTGCACTGAAGTATTGCCACAAAAAGCACATCATGCATCGAGACATCAAGCCAGAGAATATCCTTCTGGGCATACATGGAGAGGTCAAGCTTTCGGATTTCGGATGGAGTGTTCATGCTCCAAGCAACCGACGCAACACTCTTTGTGGAACTTTGGACTACCTTCCTCCAGAGATGCTGAAACCTGGACGTGACAAGAACACCTACTCTAACAAAGTCGATTTATGGTCCCTTGGAGTTCTCACGTACGAGTTCCTCGTCGGTGAAGCACCATTTGAAGATTCTCCAGTGATGACCCAGCGAAAGATTGCACGGGGAGAAATGACAGTCCCAAGTTTTGTGAGCGCCGAGGCAAGGGATCTGATCAAGAAGGTGAGAAAGTCGCATCTATACAACCTGTTTTAATCTAACTTGAGCACAGCTACTTGTCCTTGACCCCGAGAAAAGAATATCGCTAGATGGTGTTCAAGAACACCCATGGATCATCAAATATTGCGTTAAAGGCGAGCGAGCCACTATGCGAGAATCCAAGTCCATTGAATCCAAATCCAAGGGCAAACATTCATCGGAAGAATAAATGATGATTTATGACATTAGCATTGGCGTTGGCGTTCTTTTTTGGAGGGGGGTATCAAGTTTTAATTAAGGAGCATAGAGAGCAATTCTTGGAGAAGGGGATCTTCGCGGCCTATACCAAGCCAGTACAAAAATTATAATGTACACTGTCTTCTACATGTTGGTACACCTGTCTCAATACTTCATCTGTAAATATCATCAAAGGGCCTCGTATCAGCGAAGCAAGAATCCCAAACTTCGTTCACAACTTTCACTGCTTGCACATCGTCTTTGCAATTCGGTCGTGCCATCACGGAAGCTACAGCTCTTCGCCGTACGCAGGCTTGGTGTTGTTGTGTTATCGTCCTCTGCCCCCTTGTAAAGAACTCCCTCGTAAACCTACACTCCCCGCTTAAACTTGAAGCACGAATCTATCTCCAGTCAGCACCATATTCAACAATTGGCGCAGCAGAAAACCTACTTCCGAACACGCCGCATGCCTCAAATCATCCCAATCAACCTTCCACCTCAACTGATCCCACGCATGCACCAATTCATGCGCCAGCGTATCCTCCAGATGTTTCCTATCCCTCATCTGATTGGAACATATCAGGATCCCAGCCTCGGCATTGAAACCCCCTCCCTGCTGGTGCAGCCTCCCATTCTCATCTCGTCGTGCAGGACATCTTCTACATATCACATTCGAGGCATTCATATCCCCGTTCAGCGCGTTGATCTCTTTCCGTAGGAAGATTACGGTTGGCGAGTAGGAGAAACACCAGTCTCGCCAGTCCTCGCAGTTTTTCTGGTCTGCCGCGCTGTTTTTTATGTAGGTTGCTTCGCGGAATTCGTCTTGGCCTGCGGGTGTCATGCGCCCCATGAAGGCGTTGAAGATGTTGGACCAGGTTGCGTTGGGATCGTAGCCCGAGTTTGTGAGGTCTGGTTTTGAGGCGCCCGTCGAGGATGGTGGGTTTTTGGAATCCATTCTTGGGCGATTGGGCGAGAGAGGGAGGTAGGTAGGAGAGGACTGGCGGTAGGTTGGTGATGTCGTTAGAAGGGCGCAAAACTGATATTTTGATGGAAGTCTTGAGCGATGATGAATTGGATTGGTAATTGAGTCGGGCGGTGGCCGTTTTCGGCGAAGAGCTTGGGCCTGGGTCCGATCTTGCGCCGAGAGTCTACATGCGTCAGAAGTTATAAGGTTTACTATGAGCTGTACGAGCGAGTATGCGTTTTCCTTTTCATTTGTTTATTCTTGAGTCGATTTCATATCCCGGATGTCGAAAATGAAGGGACCTAAACCATTGACGATTGTCATAAAACTTGGTAAGTGAAATTTCTGAAAGAAATCTATTTATTTTGAGTCACTCACTAACGAATGAACACAGGAACCAGCTCGATTGTCGATGAGAAGACTCACGAGCCTTTACTCTCAATATTGAGTCTGATAGTCGAGACTGCTGTCAAACTCCGTAAAGATGGACATAAAGTCGTCATTGTGTCGTCCGGAGCTATTGGCGTAGGGTTAAGACGAATGGATATTGAGAAGAGACCAAAACACCTTCCCAGAATACAGGTAAGCATCAAAATGATTCGTTTCAAGAACTATATACTAACAAAACGCAGGCTCTAGCAGCAATCGGACAATGTCGACTCATAAGTCTCTGGGATAGCCTCTTTGCTCACCTTCGTCAACCCGTCGCCCAAATTCTCCTTACAAGAAACGATATTGCGGATGTAAATCAAGATATCCAACCCTCATTTCCCTAAACCCCTACTAAAAATTTGACAGAGGACACAATATCTCAACGCCCAAAACACATTCCACGAACTCCTGGAAATGGGTGTGATCCCAATTGTGAATGAGAACGACACCCTTGCAGTAACAGAAATCAAATTCGGCGATAACGACACATTATCAGCCTTTACAGCAGCAATGATCCACGCCGATTATCTGTTCCTCATGACGGATGTCGATTGTCTATATGATAAAAATCCCCGGACGAATCCGGATGCTAAAGCTATTGAGGTGGTGGAGGATCTATATGCTCTAGCAGCCGATGGTATATCCCCACAATTCCCTTCTTTCTTCCATCCAAGATTTATGTAGGAAATACTAATAAAACACAGTATCAAGCGCCGGCTCCAGCCTAGGAACGGGAGGCATGCAAACCAAAATCGTCGCCGCAAAACTCGCCACTTCAGCGGGCGTAACAACAGTAATAACGCGCTCCTCGAACCCCGGAAACATCGCAAACATAGTATCCTACTGCCAACTTGAGAAAGCCCTCTCACGCCCCTCCTCTCCGCCTTCAGGTGGCATCAGTCCCTCTCCAGCGAAGGTCATTGCGTCCGTAAGCGAGATACTCGAAGAACCACTAGCTCGATCAACCGGCTCGTTATCTTCCCTCAGTCTACGAGAAAAACCCGCACCACTACACACCCGCTTCATCGCCTCCCCCTCCCCCATCCGCGACCGCTACTTCTGGCTCCTCCACGGCCTCGCACCCCACGGAACAATCTTCATCGACGCCGGCGCCCACCGCGCTCTCTCCAACAAAGCGGGCCTGCTACCAGTAGGGGTAGTCGACATCGAAGGCACATTCGCACAACAAGAAGCGGTGCGTCTCGTCGTCGTGGAACGGCTGCCTTCCACACCGGGAGGGAATCTGTACGGCGGGACGGGTGTAGAGGTTGGACGGGCGTTGGTGAATTATAGCTCAGCCGAGATTATGAGGATTAAGGGGGTGCGGAGTAGTGAGATTGAGGGCCTGCTGGGGTATGCGGATAGTGAGTATGTTGCGCTGCGGGAGAATATTAGTTTTTTTGAGAGGGAGAGTAGACCTGTTACTCCGAGTTTTGGGGCTTGAGATACAGTAAGATGGGTGGGTGGCTATGGAAGGTGGTTGGGAAAAGTGAAATTTGTTAGAGGAGTGGGTGGGTGTTTTTGTTTTGTGATGTTTGGGGCATACAGTACAGGAACGAAAAATAGATGATACTTAAATGAGAAATGAATTCCCTTCTCGAGAAATTAATGAGCGGTCAGTATAGAGTGAACTCAGATAGGCATTACAAACGCTATATTGATAGTCTTCTGCAGTGGGCGAAGAAGGAGGCTCGCCTAAGCTACCATACTCATAAGCTACACTGTACTCCCAGCCAACTCCTCCCTCATCACCTTCACCCTATCACCCGTTGAAAAGAGAACGATGCTCAATACTCCCATATATCCAGCAAAGCAAAGTAAACACCCAAAGCTAATACCCCAATGCACGACCCTACCACAAACAGTAAACACAGAACACTACCACCCAACCCAAAGAGTTTCACGAACTTGATCATCTAGCATCTTTCGGCGAACTACTACCAGTAGCATCCTCAAACTCCAGCTCCCACTTGTCAACCTCCTGGAACTTCCTCCTTGCCTTCTTCAACTCTTTTCCTATCCTCGCCTCCATTTCTTGGCTATTCTCAGGACTCTCATCAGCTGCATCGGGTACCGGTCCCAGACTATCATTGACATCCGCCTCTTCGTTTTCCTTATCTGATATTGGGTTTCCGCGGGAGCCGTAGGTGCGTTTTGCAGTGCTTCTTGTAGTTGTTTTGGGAGCTGCTTTTTCCTTGCCGGATTTTCGGGTAGGCACTGGAGCTTTGTGGATGACACTTCGTTGTCGTCGTGTACGAGCATTGAGATGGGAAAGCTCATCGTCATCTGAGGCAAGTCCTGAGGCGTCGATTTCATCGTCCGAACTTGGGATGTCGAAGGGATCGCGAGTAGTATGACGTCTTCTTCTGGGAAGGAGAGCTTGTAGTTGCGCGGTAGAATATGTGGCAGGTGGTGGTGGTGCCTTCTTGGGCTTGGTTTTGGCCTTGGTTTTTGCTGATGCGATATATGGTCGGTTTGGAGAATGTGTGAGAGAGGGTGGAGAGGATATTGGGGAATCTTGTGTTCGAGGGGGTGGGGTTTTACCTCGTAGAGGTCTTCGTCCGCGGAAAAGAGGTAATGTTGCCGGGTCTGGGAGCTCTGGACTAGAAGCAGAACTGCTGCTAAGAGGTGGTGCCATCGTCTCGCTCATAGGTTCTGGGGTGACAGGTCGCGCTTCAATCGAAGGCATTGGGCGATCTTCATCTAGCTCAGGCAGTTCGTCTTCCTCATTCTCCTCCTCGTTTTCCCCCTCGTCCTCATGTGCAGATGCCGTCGCTGGGATGGTTTCATCTTCTTGTCTAGCTGCTGGTGATCGCCTAGTTGGGCTTGATTGAGACTGGGGTATTTGAACATCTGCTAGCTTGCGCTTTCGCGAATTTGAACCGGAAGCACCAGATGAACTATTCATAGCTCTCGCTTTCGATAAATTCAATGGCGTAGACTCGTCCTCTGGGTTGAAATCATCCTCGTCGTCAAACTCGGGCCGTGCCTGTTGTTGCTTTCGAGCTGTTCCAAGCAAACTTGGTTCTCGTGCCCTTCGTCTGAAATTCCCAATCTTCATAGCGGATCCAACGCGGGCTGGTGTACCACCTCCCATTCCGCCCACGGTGGTTATCCTGCCAGATACACTTGGTTGTCTAGTCCTCCCTCTGAATCCTCCAAATGCCGTGGCTGGTGTATTTATCTTTCCAACACTCGTAAGACCATTATCATCCGCCATATCTGACTCAACACTACTAGATCGCGCTCTACCCGTTCCACGTCCTAGAATGCTTGGTTCACGCGGCCGTCTGCGAATGTTTCCAAATGCCATCGACGAGTTTCCCACAGCTGGTGTGTTGATATCCCTTCTTGACACCTCAATATCCGAACTTGATCCAAGGTCAATGTCCAAATCATCTCCCTTCTCTACATCCAGTTCCATATCCTTCTCCTGTGTCGCGTCGACCTTCTTTGCGCGTCCTAGCGGTGTCGCAGCAGCTTTTCCTCGATCATTGCCCTTCCTGGAGCTCCGCGTAGTGGTAGTAATTCTCTCCTCCGGATCGCTAACATCATACAATTCATCGAAAGCTGGTTTGGGCGCATGTGATTCGATCTTCTTCGCGGTGGCGTGTACGGGACCTTTGCTGCGCACAGCAGAAGGCTGAACCTTGGTTCTCTTTGGCCGCGGCATTTTGATGATGTTCCAATTACTCAATGGGATACTATTTCAAAGTGCGGATCGCATATCGAGATATGTTGCTGGGAATGGCGGAGTGTTGGAGTGTGGAGGGGTTGAGATAAAAGTTGCGACGCGTCCGGGATTAGTACGCGATTTTGGTGTTGTGGTTGCTTGGACCAGAATTCAATGCCAAGCGATCCAGACTTTGGTTTCACCAATTGCTTCACTCTGGAGCCAACCTTATTCCGTTTCCCCCAATGGTCTTTTGCAAAATTGAAAATCTGATTTTCTTCAAACTGTCATCATATTTGACAGCTCTCAGCCTCGGAACATAAGCTTTTCAAAAGATGATCTCGTATTCTCACACCAAGATACGCTTCCAGTGTACTTAAACACACGTATTTTTTCCATCTCCAAGCGACATTTTTGATACGAAGCTATATAGCTATCTCAACTCAGCTCGGCTTGTCATTCAAGGCCTCTCATAAGCTTTATCTCTTTGCCGGATATCTCAACCTCTTGCATTTTTGATTCCGCTGTTATCCTGCTTCAAACTCCTTCCTTAAGTCTGTTGTCGGTCCCTCTGTCAAGAGCTTCTTGAAGCCCGAAGCTTGAAGTTCGAGGATTTTCCTGAAAGTCTTTCGTTGTTGTTTGCGTTGGCGTCCAAAGGCATTTCCCTTGACGGGTATCTCTACATACATGTGTGGAGATAATCAACCTACCAAGCAAACCCAAATCGAGCTTTCAATGTACCCCCATTCACGAGAGCGTTCAATATCCTGCTCAAGACTAACATCCAATATCTATTCCGCAAGACCTCCTCCTCTATTCCTCCGTTCTGCAAGTACAAGTCAACACGTGCTTGCTGGATTGGCCTTCGGAGCTGGAACCCCGCAGTTTACAGGCAGTGCAACGTCACTCCATCTTACTAGTACTCCTAGTAAAAGACCGGAAAACTGGGATCAATTCAACGTCCTAATGCTTCCGTGGTTCCCGAGTTGCCAAATTCAGAGATGTGATTGTGGCACAGTTTTTTTGTACAATCTCAGTCCCTTTAATATAAGTACTTTTGCTATCCTTCAAGTTTCATTGGTTTTTTTGGAACTTTTCAACGATATCTTGTTGAACGGCTTTTCAACCATGCCTTCTGTTTCTTCTTGTTTGTTGTTGTTGGCTTTTACTCTCTTAGGAGTTGGAGTTGGAGCTTTGAATTTAGATCCTGCGTTGCAGGAGATTCTGGATAAGGCACACCAAGCGCCTTTATATACTTATCCTACCAGTTTGACACAGGGAACTGTGCCGGTATGTGACTTGCTTGCGTATCATGTCCATACTTTTGGGCTAATCAAATTATCGATAGAAACCAATTCATTCTCACAATGACTGTAAGATACCGGGACTTCCTTTGCCGTACTAAATCAAGCTCAATCGGTCTCAACTTAGAAGATTTCTAGTTGCAGTCTGAATCTTCTATCTTGACGATTACTACTCAGTTTTCTAATCCAAACTACAGACTGGAGAGATATCCCATTTTACTCCGCTCTTTCTCAAGGAGCAATCTCAATCGAGGCCGACGTCTGGCTATACAACGCAACCCTTCATATCGGGCATGAACAAGGAGCTCTAACCAATGAACGCACCTTTGACTGTCTCTACGTCAGCCCCATTCTCGACGTTCTGAAAAGACAAAATCCAAAGTCGAGATTCCTATCAGCACCGACTCACAATGGCGTCTTCGATACCGACGCAGGCCAAACACTCTATCTATTCGTAGGCTTGAAAACTGATGGAGCCAGCACATGGCCCGTTGTCATCAAAGCCTTGGAGCCTCTGTAAGCTTTCCAAAAAAAAACACCTCATCAAAATCCCACCTCTCTAACCTCCCGAAAGAAGAGAAGCAGGATTCCTAACCAGAGTAAACAACGGCGCCTTGACCAAAGGCGCCGTAACCGTGATCGGCACCGGAAACACACCTCTAAACCTGGTGCAACTAGTCCTCTCACGCGATTACTTCTGGGACGGCCCAATTGCTACTCTGAACACCACATTCTCTAATATCACAGCGTTGGTTTCTCCCATTGCATCAGCGAGTTACAAGTCGATTTTTGGGACTGTGACTGGAGAGAAGGGGTTGAATGAGACGATGCTGGAAGTCTTACGGGGGCAGGTGAAGGTTGCGAAGGAGAAGGGGATTTTGTTGAGGTATTGGGATCAACCTGGGTGGCCGATTGGGACTAGAAATGGAATTGTGAGTTTTGATTCTGGTTTTTCTCTTTGTGCTGATTTGGGGATGGATGTGATGTGAGGGTGATTGCTAATGAGTTGGGCTTCAGTGGAGACAATTGAAAGATGAGGGGGTGGATTTGATTAATGTTGATGATGTGGAAGCTGCTGCTGGTACGGAATGGTAAGATGATGATCATCGGTGAAATAGTAGCAGAGAGGGGCACTTCACCAGCTCGAACTACCCCCACGATTGGACAATTAAAATCAGCCAGTAAGACATGGAACAGTTCTTTCGCGAATCAAGTGTCTTTTTTCCGCTTCCTTAAAATCCTCGTAACGAGTTTAAGACGATTGGGACTAGAGTCATAACATCGCAAGCGTATTCAGAGCCACTTATTTACAACTCGCTTAATTCCATACCCGTTTCCACTCCCAAATGTCGCAACAGAAAAAACCCAGAAGCAACAAGAAGGTAGTCGATGCGGTCGAAGTTCGGGTTTTGATTTCCTTTTCATGGACACAGCTTTACCACTTGCCAGCTCGGGTTGTTACAGTTTACATACTATGAGTCTGCTTCTTTGGGATTTGGTGCTGGGTTCGGCGGTTGGTGAAGAATGACTGTGTTGAATTGGTGGATGTATTTCATGGTCGCTTACTAGAGAGCATGCCATCATACAACTAGGTGCTATAATCTCTGTCGTTCTTTCGAGGTGGTCTGAACAGCTGGTTGAGCAGACTACGAAAGTGATGTTTTTCTAAGGCTTCTAGGCAGACTATTGTGACGCTCGACCTGCTAACTTCGCTTTAAAAAAAATCCTGTTCTCTTGAAGGTACTGTATGTGCGAATAGATTTGACGCTACTGCTTTGCGGGAGGTACTTCGGGCGTTTAATGGAGCTTAACATTGTTATTGTAGATGAAAGAGTAGGTTGGTATGATGATTTTGATATTATTATGGTGTTTCTTTTCTGAATACCTATTACAAATTGCAAATATAGGGGTCTGTTCTACTGATGGTTCATGACCTTCCCTTCTGTATTGGTATTGTCCAGCCTGCAACGGAATTCAGCAGTACTCCAAAACACCAGCGTGTCAACAAAACTAATCAACTACTCAACGCTGCTCGAGTAGTAATTGAGTTGAGTTGAGTGAGTATGATTAGTGGATTCCATTGAGTTGAGTTGATTAGGTGCCACTTATCAAATCAACTAATCGAATTAAACACGCTGCAAAACACCAGCTTCGCCCGTCTCCCTCAAATGGATACGAAATTCTCATTGCCTGGGAACAGTGCAACCCTTCCGTTTCCCAACTAATTATTGATAGGCGACCTCTCTGTCCTAAGAAAGTCGTTTCTCAACCAAGCAACAAGGAGATTCAAAGGGTATCATTAAGTAAACCAAACCTATCCCACCTATCCCAAAACATAATTTCAACTACCAACACACCATCACACCCCCAAACCCCCTACCTAGCACCCCCCGTCCACATCTCAGCAGGTTCCTGTCCCACCCCACCCACAGGTTTCCTCGCCTCCCCACCCCCCATCTCAACAAACTCCTTCCTCCCCTCCCCCTGCATCTCCACCGTCCCGGGAGTCATCCTCCCACTCAACCCACCAGGTTTCTCCATCGGCGACACAGGCGAAACCATCGTCGTGGCCGGTGACAGGACCTTACTTTCCACAATGGGAACCTGATAAGGGAGATGGCCCGCTGCAGTCGGCTGCGGAGGCAGAATATGAGAGTTCGCCATGTGCTCCGCTCTCTTCCTCGCTTTCCCTTTACTTCTTCTCCATAGACAGAAGATGATGGCCATGCATAGTAGTCCGATGACGACCAGGCCTCCTACGACCGAACCGATGATGATTCCGAGATTACTTTTTTTCTTTGGTGGTGAGGTTGTGGAAGCGGTAGAAGTGACGGTGACTACACTCCCGCCTGCTACCGTCGTCGTTCGGGGTCTGGGTGTGGCGGTTGAGCGTTTGCTGGTGGTGCTGGTGCTGGTTGGGGAGACGCTGGCGATGATGCATTCGTTTTGGGCCCAGAGGTTGTAGGTGAGGATTTCGTTGGTGGTGCAGGCGCTTGTTAGACAGGTTGTGAGGATGTTTTGGACGTAGGCTGTTTGACTTGCTGGACCGCATTGGCAGAGGATGTCCTGTCGTTGGATTATCAGCAAATCTTTTTTCTATTGCGAGCTTGGAGTGGTAGTGGAAGATAGAAGGATTCAAGATCGAGTGAGGTCTATCGTTCCTGAGAAGAGTAGCGTTCCCTTGTGTATGTAATATTTGAGAAGGACTTACATCTGTACCGCAACCTGTAGCCACGACGGCAATCTGATAACAGCTCACCTACAGAACAACAATTTGAACCATATCACCATAACTATAATCCAAACAAACAGGCCAAACACCACTCACAGCACACGACGGAATACTCTGCCCAACCACCGTCCTCGCAAAAAGGGCCAGCGAACCCAAGCCTACTCCCAAAAATGCCCTCATATCTCACCAAGTTCCAAAATAAAAACCGAATATAAACCCAAAATTGCAATTCCAATTAATCAACAATAGAACCCCTCAAAACACCTCAAAAACGAATAACAAGTTACAAAAAACCCCACGATACAACTCAGAATAAGTCCCATAACCACCTCCGAAAACTCGCATACAAACATCCCGCGAACGGCCAAGCGCGTCTCAGCTCCCATGCTCGGGGCTGAATGGCGCACCCAAATCGAGTGGAAAAAGCAATGTTGTCATCGTAAAGATGACCTATCCCGTTATTAGGGGTTAAAAATAGGAGACGCCTCTTTTTGAAGTTGGGGAGGGAGAGATTAAGACTGGCGTTGTATCATTGAGGTGGGCGGGAAAGTAAATAAGGTGTTGTAGCCACCAAGTAGTATTCGAGGGTTGGAAATGTTTCATCTTTGAAGTCCTCCAGTGGAAGAATTAAGGAGTGATGTGCTTGGGAAGACAAAGATAATACAAAAGGAGTGATGCAGGCAACGACCGCGAAATTTCCAGGCGTTGGTTTTCATCCCCAGACCTCGCATTAGGAGATCCTTGGGGAGGAGGAACTGGTTTCTTCGAACCAAATGTCGTCGAACTTTCATACATCACCCCATGAAGTAAATGTTGAAATTAGAAGGGGAAAAGGCCCAAAAAAAGAACACATGGAACATCACAGGGAAAGAGAAAGAAATATCTGAAATATTTGTAGGTCCGAGGACCTATCTGGGCACTATCTTAGTTTTCTCTGAGCAACCATGATAGGCGCCAAATATATCAACTTTTGAATAGTCCAACTTAAAGGACTTATTGGTTGGTGGTGGTACATTAGCAGTAGTGGCTGCTACCCTTCCTTTCGCAAGAAAACCTCACCATAACTCCACCAAGAACGCCATTCGCAAGAATCATCAAACAGCCATAGACAACATTCTAAGGCAAAACATAAAATAGTGAAATTGGGGAGAAAGAAACCGAAGATTTCGTGGTTTCATCTATCCGCGGTTAACAGCGGTAAAGCCACCACCACCCTCAACAGGTGCTGGAGGTTCAGTTTTATCCTCTCCCATCTCAACATCCTCGTCTGGGTCATCTACTGTAGGAGCGGTACTGGCAGGCAGATACTCGCCATCGAAGGCCGCTTGTTTTGGAGCAACAACCGGAGTCTTTTCGCTGTTGGCGCCTTTTTTAATCTGCTCAAAGCGTTTTTGGAACTCGGCCTTCCGTTCTTCCTCCAATTTTTGCCATCCAACAGCCAACTTTTGATCAATGTCAAAGTCGCCTTGCGCAACAGCTTCCGCATTGCTGGCTAATATGACAGAACGGGTCTCGTTGCAGTAGATGTCAAAGGCACTTTTTGGCTTTCGACCAGGCGTAGCTGAAGCTCCAACCGCCAGACCATTGTTAGTTGTAGGAAGCAATCGCTTGGACGCTGCTGCTTGGGGCGTTGAGTTTCGGGCGGTGTCGTGTATATTATGTGAGAATGCATCGGACGATGGGGAGAGTGTGACGGGTCCTTGCTGGATGAATGAGCTTCCTGCGGAAGGATCGAGATTGTTCAAGAAGGATGGTTTCCGATGACCGCGCTTGTTTCGTAAAGGCTTTTCTTTGGGCTGCAATATCTTTGGTTAGTCGATTGGCACATTAAAATCTTGATGTAGGAAGTTATAGGGCATCCAAGACTTACAGTAGGAGGTGGACTTGGGCTACCATCTGAATCCTCGACGTTTGTGCTTGTTCGCTTTGCTAGTTGCTCAAGAAGAAATGATCGCTCCAAGCGTATCTTTTGTACGGCTCTCTCGAGCCGGGTAACTCGAAGTTGTACTGAATCATTATCGTGTTCAACCTCGTTGACCCGTTGCTTGAGCTGGATGCATTTTCGACGGTATGCTTCCTCTACTGATGGGGCCAGAGTTGGTGGAACGCCTGGTTAAGTTAGTATAGTCCGTGGTCAACCATCCGGTTCGTAGGCTGCCACCAAATTCCTCGCAGGGCCTCTCTAGGGACGAATTGCCAATAATCCCCCCATTACCTTCGAGAATGAGGTGTTTGCCTTGGAGGCAGAGTTGTGTATTAAGTTGTACTCACCAGAAGGAGGTGCCATGATGAGAGATAGCCTGCAATCTTCTGCTTCAACAGGTGGCAGTGTAATTGATGTGGATGGTGTTGCGAGATGCAATCCAAGATCGGCGCAAACAGCTAAACTCAAGCCAGGCATGAGGGCATCGTGACTCTAGAGGCAGCCCAGTGGAGCTTCCATTTGGTGGTCTGTCCGGGAATGAACGGTCCGCTTTCAAGTCCGATGACAAAGCTCCTCCGTGGCTCCGTCACCCAATGACATCGTTCCGATAATCGCCCGAACACTTAGCGTGTTGAGCTTTGAATTTTATGTTCTCGAGTTGTCAGACACGAAGTAGTCGCGGTGGGATAGGAAGCTATTTCCCAAATCCCTATCATCTGCCCTCCACCTCCACCCCGCAACTCGCCCAGCATGTCTCTCAACATCCCAAATGCTCCGAATGCGAACCTTTTTAAGCAGGGTTACCAAAAGTAAGTCTGTCACTGATTGTTCTAGCCTCAGCAACTAATATATTCCAGCTATGAATCCGAGGATGGCGCTGTTCTACGAAATATCGATGCTTGTAGGACGATCACCTCAACTGTGCAAACATCCCTGGGACCTTATGGACGAAACAAAATTGTCATCAACCATCTACAAAAGATGATCCTCACTTCAGACGCTGCCACCATCCTCCGAGAACTCGATGTCGTACACCCCGCCGCAAAATTGGTGGTAATGGCCAGTCAACAGCAAGAAGCAGAAATGGGAGATGCCACAAATTTGGTTATTATTCTTGCAGGAGAACTGCTCAAGAAAGCAGAAGAGCTCCTGCGAATGGGCCTGAAAACCAGCGATGTGATCAGAGGATACGAAATGGCACAAAAGTTTGCTCTGGAAGAGCTTGAGAATTTGGTTGTCGACCAAGTAGATGATATTCGATCACAGAAGGAGCTGAGCAAAGCCATCAAAACTGTCATTGCCAGCAAGCAGAACGGGAACGAGGACTTTTTGGCAGAGATGGTATCCGAGGCAGTTTTGGCGGTTCTCCCAAAGAACCCCATCAACTTCAACGTCGACAACATCAGAGTGGTGAAGATTATGGGAGGAAGTTTGGATCAGAGTCGGGTAGTCAAGGGAATGGTTTTCGGACGTGAGCCAGACGGATCCGTCAAGAAGGCAGTCAAAGCCCGAGTTGGTGTCTTCTCATGTCCAATTGACACCAGTCAGACTGAGACAAAAGGTACAGTTTTGTTGCACAACGCCAAGGAGATGTTGGATTTCACAAAAGGTGAGGAGAGCCAGCTTGAGACAGTCATTAAGGAGTTATATGATTCTGGCATGCGTGTAGTCGTTGCTGGATCGACGGTTGGAGAGTTGGCTATGCACTACCTCAACCGTTACGGCATGCTTGTTATCCGAATTCTCAGCAAATTTGAACTCCGAAGATTATGTAGAGTGGTTGGCGCAACTCCTCTGGCTAGATTAGGAGCACCGATGCCGGATGAGATGGGAAGTGTCGATGTTGTTGAGACCCTTGAGATTGGTGGAGACCGAGTCACAGTTTTCAGACAAGAGAATGAAACGACAAGAACAGCTACTTTGGTCATCCGAGGTGCAACACAAAACCATCTGGATGATATTGAGCGGGCAGTTGATGATGGAGTGAACGTTGTTAAGGCTATCACAAGAGACCCAAGACTGGTTCCGGGTGCTGGAGCCACAGAGTTGCAGTTGGTTGAGCGAATACAGACTTTTGGAGACAAAACTCCTGGAATCGCTCAATACTCTATCCGCAAATTTGGAGAGGCTTTTGAGGTCATTCCAAGAACACTCGCCGAGAGTGCTGGTTTGGACGCTACCGAAGTTCTGAGCAGACTTTACACAGCCCATCACAAGCGAGATATTTGGACCACTGGTGTTGATATCGAGGTATGAAATGGGCCCACCTTAGTACTCCGAGCCCTCGTACTAACTGTTATAGAATGATGACAACACAGGTACTTTAGACGCCAAGGATGAGGGTATTCTAGATTTGATGATCGCAAAGAGCTGGGCCATCAAGCTTGCCACTGAGGCTGCTAGAACCGTGCTCTCAGTTGATCAAATCATTGTCGCAAGACAAGCCGGTGGACCAAAGCCACCTGGACCGAACCCCGTAAGTTTACTAGTACTCATACCACAAAGGTTTATCGCTAATTTTTCCTCTTGCAGAACTGGGATGAGGATTAGATTTGTTGGCATAATGAGAAGCGTCATGAATGTATAATGAAAACTAGATCCATGAAATACCCCGGAAAGAGTTTTTGAATCTTCAGACTACGTATCCTGATCGTGATGAATTTGTGAAATGAATTAATGATGTTGAATGTGATAGATGATTTATGTCCCCTTTCGAATTCATTTGGTAATGTGTAGCTCGCCATGTTGTATTGTCTCAAGCCTTTACAATAGTGCCTGGCCAGGGTATGCCACATCCATAGAAATAATAGGAGAACTAACAATTCGAAAGTGGAAGGGAATAATTGCCGCTCTGATCTTTAGTAATTTAGTAGTAAGTATATAAGTCTGTATGTTCTTGTAATCGTCTCATTAAACCATTAGTATTCTACCCTACATTCTGTACTTACTTACCTCCCTACTACTTCTAAACCTATTACAATTGTTTATGGAAGGGACCCATGTACAGTGGTATTGGAACCTCATTTAGTTTACTCAATTACTCTACTCTTCTAGGCTATCACCAATCATTATTGTTTGTTGAAGTTTCTTTTGATAAGTGATTGGCGGTGACTCGTAATTGTGTTTGTTTTGGATTGTTGGTTAATTGGGTTGGGAAGTTTTTGTTTGTTGAGAGGTCTTGGGAAAAGGGATTGATTCACTTGGTGTAAATTCACCGTTGTGACTGGGGTCGGAAGCTGGAAGTTGTAAGATGATTGGTTGATTGGGATTGTTGTAAATATAGTAAAGTATCAGCGTTGAGTAAAGTTTATATTAGTCAGTTTTTATATAAGGGCACTTGATCAATCCATTCAGAGACGCCTAGTAGGCAGTATTCATTGAAAAGTAACTATAGCAGTATTTTGGTTTCTTGGAGGGAGTCTGTAAGAGGATTGGTCAGGTTACCTGTGTAAACAAAGTGAAGTTTGAGCTCGAAGCATTCATGCGGTCGTGTAAGTCGAGTTGTATATCAAGGTTCTTATGTAATTCCATTTCCGAGACATCCCAAAAAGGACTAGACTAAACATAAGGGAAGTAATTCATAGACTCCAGCCAAACAAAACCCTTAGTTTTGACCGTCAAGGAAATTCGTAAGTGTGGGAAATGCCAAGATAGTTCAACATCTAGGTTTCCTTTCCAAGTATCTTTTGTGTCAACGTCAAGATAATCAATGCCCATCTTTCTGCCCCAAATTTCCGACGAAGACGACGAGAACAGCGCAATATCTAAAGCATACAGTTAGTGCCTTACAGTAATTTTTGGGACACGAAATGAGGACACGTACGCAGCTGCCGATGCCAAAATCTCGTGTCGTTTGGCTGGAGTGAAGGACCTCAGCACGATTGAGAATAGGACTGTAAATGCCCCAAGGATGACGATAGAGATTGTTCTATCGGTTATGACCGACAGGGTGTATATTGGAATGGCCATGAGGATAACGATAGCCACCATGATGATTGTCGTTACGAGGAACTCGATGCGCTCCCTGCTGAAAAGGTTGACGCCGTATCTTCTAGCATGTTTTGCGTTTTCCCTGACATTCTTTTGAAATTTTATTAGCGCTTGTTTTTTCTTTCAACAAGGAAGACGATCGTACTCCGGAGCAAAATATGTACCGAGTTGGTTCCTTGGCGGTCAGCGCTAGATCGAGTCTCAAGAAATTGTCTCGTTTACTTACACTGATGTACTTCCAATCGTGGTTTGCGATTTTGTGCAGAGTTGTCTCCACCCATGTGTCGAGCCATGAATGGTCCCTCCCAGGCTTGAGAGTCACAAGGTCTTCAGGGCAGTATAGATATTTGTCATCCATAGATATATCACTCACGTCGAAAAAGCTTTTCATGTTGAGATAGTTACAGGTAGACGGTGAGTCATAGGACGCTAGATCTCTCGCGACCGATAGTAATTGTGCTATTTGTATCAAGGAGTTTCAAGTTAGCTTAATTTCGGAAGGTATGGGTTTCCCAGTCCAAGCTGACCATATTCCTTGAACGTTTCTTCAATTTCATGTACTTTTTCCTTGCGTATTCTGCCCTCCTCTGTGTTTCCTGCCAACGAATAATGATACTCTGGGATTTCGCCTGGGACGTTCACCCCCAATTGCTGTAGTTCACGCTCAAGTTTAATCAATTCACTTTGTTTATACAGCAGTACCTGAGCTTGAAGGATACCGAATTTCCGATAGACCATGAAATTTTCAAGACTATGTAAGGCTCCTAAGAATGGCAGTCCATCAGGATATCTCAGCACTATCTTATGCTTAGCATTTCCTCGTTTTCATCATGTAAGTGGGCACTTACGAGGCTTTACCAGGGAGGTTGTGGGCTTCAGTTTGCCTTCCGTCCCTGTCCCAGGCATCAGATTTTGTTTCATCCATTTTGTCCATCGTTTCTGGGTATCCTGGCAGTTTGACGTCGCTTTTTATTCTCGTCAGTAGACAAGGAGCGAAGCTCAAGTCAGTGATAATTACACGCACAATTCCCCATTTCACAATCTCTGAGCACACCCTTTGCTTCAGAGTCATCAGGCTGAGCAGCATTAGGGCCTCCAGTGCTTTTTGTTTCTATCACTGCCTTATCGTTTGCAATTTCAGAGGAACTCGGCATGATCGTGAATTCAGCCGCGGGCTAGAGTGAGCTTGGCTGTCTTTCGATTTTGAGCTGAGGTTGCTAAGTTGAGGTTGTCAAAGTTATCTTGCCACGATCGCGAAGAGCCATCAACTTAAGTTTCGCGAGTCCAAGTTACACATATGTTAATATCTGTCGGTGTCTCAAAAAGGTATAGGGAGCTCGTGTTGAAGAAATTCGCTTCGCTCGGCTCTAAGTAGCGCCTAGCACAGCGTCGTCTCAGGTACCAAGTGTAAAGCAAACCACATCGCCTGATAGTTGCACGACACGGTATCATGTGAGACGCTAGATTTACACCAAGCATAACGCGATTTTATGTAGGTACACTCATCGTAATCGTTTTGTCTTTGAGCGGGAGGGGGGGTATAATTGCATACTGGAGTCAGGTGCCACTGCTATTCTTACTGTATAAAACTGTCGGTTTACAATAGTGAATGGTTATTAGCTAGCTCCGAGCGTAGCCGCTCCTTTGGGACTAGGGTACTTCCGGCACCTATAAGTACGTAAGGACCTAGCTAGCTATACTTGCTTCGGCATGCAATACAACATAGGGACTTAGTTATACCACATAATATAGGTCCATTACATCGCCCATTTATTAACGATAAGTCAAACCAACAAAAGCCTTAAAACCCTACTACGAGTACAATCATCCATTTTTACCTACTCTAATAGAAAGTAGAAATCTTTCCATAGGCTTAATACCTGTAAAATAGTTATATCTATAAGCTAATTTTAGTTCCTTTTTAGTATAAATAGAAGTGGTTTATTATAAGTGAGGAAGGTGCTCACTAAGCAACTTGGTAGGATAAAGTATCCTATATCCGATTAATCTCCTTAAATAATAATACTATAAATGTTATCTATGTTACACGATTCTAGGCTCTTTTATTCCTCCTATATACCCCCGGAGATAATCTTACCTTAGTCAGATAAACTCTTTATAGGGAGCGAGGCTGGGATGCTAATACTTTAGTACTTACTAAATAGAGCCTTCTAATTAGTCCATAATGTGCGAGAAGTCTAAGCATTTGAAGCTAGCTATTAACATGAGAATCTAATAAATAGCCCTGTATAATGTAACGAATGGATGATAAAAAGTACATTTTATAATTTTACGTAAATTCCCTACTTCATAACCTTTTACCTTCACACATTCTAAATAAATCAAGTAGATGTAAGAGACATAGTCGTTACTCTATATACACTTCTCTTAGAATAAGTTATTCCATAAACGTCGTATAGCAAAAATAGATAAATGAAGAGCTTGTATAATTATTAATGCTTACTTTTCACTAACCTAGGTATCCTAAGACAATTATCTTACTTGTACTACAAGTTTAGTATAATAGAGTTTAATATAGTGTATACAGAGTAACGATCAGGCATCTTAATTAATCAAAATTCAAGTGTCTCAATTCTTCTGCAACCCCTTTCATATAATTCTTTCTTGGAGCTATAGATAGATTTCGTCCACCCATAACTTCGAAGTTACATGTGTTCAAGCATGGTCATCTGTTGGAATACTTTTTTTCGTCGTAGTGAATTTAGCCAATTGAGGAGATGTCCAAAAAAAACCCACAAACTCTGTTCCAATCCTCGTCGCAAAGTCATAAACCAGTAACTCTCTTTCTCGTCAGCGTCATTAAGGTCACTCCTTCATTTCTGCCCCAGATTGCCAATGTAAACCACGAGAACCGCACAATATCTGCAATATTTAGTAAGCTTCCTGTGTCAAATACAAACTAGGAGATACCTACGCTGCTGCAGACGCCAGAATTTCATGTCTTTTTGCTCGAGTAAACAATGAAAGCACGGTTGAAAAAAGAGCAGTAAACACACCTAGAATCACAATTGTGATGGGTATTGTTCTACTCACGAGCGTACCATCGGCTGCTTGTGCTTCAGTAGACCCTGTCAGTTTGGAAAGAATGTAGATAGGGCAGACAAGCAACGCAAGGATTGTGAGCATGATGATAATGGAAACCGTAATTTCGATTCTGTTTTTACTGAACAGTGTAGTTCCATGTTGCCTTGCCGAGCTTGAAAAGTCACGGATTTCCTAAGATTTCACCTTAGCGTGTTCACTGTTTGAGGATTTGAAGTTATACCGAAGATGCAAAGGTATACTGCATTTTCAGCCGGTCAGTAGCTAATCGTACCATTGGCGTTTGATGAAACGTACATATATCGGCTTATTTAACTTGCTTGGTTTCTTGGTTAAGGTGTGGAGGATTCTTTCCACCATGGAGTCAAGCCACGAGTGCTCCCTTCCCGGCTTGAGTGTGACCAGATCCTCCTTGTGATATATATGTGCGTCCTCGACGGCTACAGGGTTTGTTTTATCGAAGTAATCTTTGATATTTCTATAACTGTATTCGGGAGGTGGATTGAAGTATGCGAGGTCTCTCGCGATGATCAGTAGTTCTGCTATAAAAACAAAATCCAATTAGTTCTTGTTGAGGGTCATTGATATGGTTTTGCGGCGTTCAATCACCCACCATACTCCTTAAAGGTCTGCTCGATCTTGCTATGGAGTTCCTGCCGCGCTGTGTCTTCAGGGTCTACATTATCTCTGGATCGATGAACACTCGGTGAAAACTTTTGATCCAATATGTCCAACCGCGCCAGTTCTGCTTCGAGTCTTGAAAGTTCGTGCTGCTTGTAAAGCAGGTTGCGGGCTTGTAGTATGCCAAACCTTCGGTATATCATAAAGTTTTCTTCAAAGTTGAGCAGGGCAGTTAAGTATGGATATCCCTCGGAATATTTTTGTACTGTCTTTAATCAGGAATACGGTCTTGACTAAATTCAACCCAAACACTACTTACGGGGTCTGGCCGAACTTTGAAAGCTTGTTTCACTCTTCTTTTTTCCAGGTACCAAACGTGCAATCTGAGTTTTGATGTGCTATTGCCATGTAGTTCATTGGCTGTTGCTGTACAATTTAAGCTTGAAAGACTGGTTAAAATTTGTAGGAAGGTGGGCATACTGGCTTCCTTGTATTGCCCGCGCTGTGAAGTGCTCGAAGCGATAGGCTGAGCATTCATACTCTCCACGACTTCTCCCTTCTCAATAACATCCTCTGTACAGTTTTTCATGATGGCATCTGTAGAAGATGGAATTAGCCTCGGAAAAATGATCGTCAATGGAAGGACATGTTCAGTTGCAGCAAATTTTCGAGGCATCCATTACGAATACAGTACCATATGCCAGTATCCGTTGGTGACACAGGCGGTTCAAAGCGTGGAATTCATTGCTCAGCTAAATACACGAGAGGTTTCATGACAGAGGGCCGCAGCCTTGAGGAAAACAATACACCTTCCGCTTACTTCTCATCTGCCACGGCTTTAGTCTCCGTCTCCGCTCTCTTATGCTTCAGCCGCCAGGATTCAACCGTATCTTGCTCCCCCTTTTTTGAGCCAGTGAGAAATTCGATTCTATACTTGGAAAAATTTGACTGTAGCTTATCGGGCTCGGAAATAATCTTGGCTTCCTGCCATTCTCTTCTCCCACCATATGGAGCGGACAGCATGTCGCACATACAAATCTCCCCCAAACTGAAATTCCCTATGCTCTTCTTCTGCACAAATCTATCAGTAAGAGCATGCCAAGTTTTCTCCGAGATAGAATGAGCACAAAACTCTCACTCGGTACGGAACAAGGTTCTGAGTTTTTCAAAGAATGAAGCGATGACATCGAAAAGATAAACAACACTTGTCGTTTTATGACCATTACAGCAAGCCTGTTATTTCAAATTCATTACAAAATGAATATAAATAAAGTTTTACTTAGACCGTCGAGAAGAAGGAATATGAACCTGAGCCCTTGCAACAATATGAGAGCAAAGCCGGATTATACTTGGTTTGAAGGGACCGACAATAAGACAACTTTGGAGAAATACTTACACTACCTCACACGCCCCCTGACGTACTTTGAGGGGAGTTTTTGTCATCGCTGCCTTTATTTGCTTGGTCCCCTGCAATCTTTGAAGGATTAGAGGTGGATTGCTTGCTCTTTCCTTCAACAGGAGGTGAGACCTTCTTGGTGCCGGCCCCCTCATTTGTTTTGTCGTTTGAGCTCTTGGGGGAGGATTCCTTATTCTTTGCTTCATCAGAAGGTGTTACCTTCTGATTGCTGGAACCTTCATTTGTTTTATTGCCTGAGCTCTTGGAAGGATTAGAGGTGGGATTCTTGCTCTTTCCTTCATCAGGAGGCGCGACCTTCTGACCGCTGGCCCCTTGAGTGCTTGAATTTACCATCTCAAAGTCGTTGGAGATGTAGAGAAGAAATCAAAAAGGGAAATTTGTAGTATACCTGGGGCAAATATTTTCCTGGTCTTAGTCTTGGGTAGGCGACGGGCGTGGTTGTTCTTCTGGAAGTTGCAGGTGGTCTTGGTCTCGAGAATTCTCTCCTTGGGCTGGCCTGTGTCGCCGGGATTGTTCTTGGGTTGTTCCCTATGCGAGGAGATGGTCTCGGCGTAGAGTAATGGTTTCTTCTCGAGGGCTTTCTGACTGTGGAACTTTCTCTGCTTTGAACTGCAGCCAATTGGCGTCCCTGGTGAGATCTGCGCGAATTTGATCTAGAAGTGTGCTGTGGTCCTTCCGAGGTTCTCGTCACAGATCTTCCCTTAGAAACAGGCTGTTCTGTATGACGCAAGTAACTCTGTCTCGTAGTAGGTGTCGTGGTTCTGTTTCTTTCGGGAGAAGGACCTCTTGATATTGACCGTGTTGGCGTTCTTCTCCAAGTCATGAAATTCGCTTAAAAAGGAGGCGAGAGATCAAGTTGAACTTTGGTTCTTCGATGAAGGGAGAATGAAGACCTTGGGTTACCATAATCGCCCATTAAATAGATTGGGGATTCCTTTGTTTGGGATTTGCTATGAATGGAAAATGACTGAAGATGTGTGAATCATCTTGGCGTATCTATGGGATAGTTTGGTTGATGATGAGCCGAATTGTGGTCTTCTTCAGACGAAAAGGAGATTCCTGGCCCAAACTTGAGATTATTTGAGACTGAAATCCAATCAGGGACAATGAAATGTGAGTATGAAGCCGCTATAATTCAATTCTAGCAATCTCCATACAAACAATTGGAATTTTCTTGACGTAGAAAACCAATTGGGGAAGAGATCGAAATCGGTCGTACAAACTGGTTCCTACTATCACAATTGAAAGTTTGACTCCATTGGCAAACTTAACAGCGTGTGAAATAGCCAAGAACTACGCAAAGTAGGAAACGAGAGAGAATTGGAACAGCAGTCAATGTTACCGAGTAAGATAGCACGCATCTAAAGCTTTTTTCACAACATCAACTTTGAAGAACAGTATTCTGTGGAGACATTTTCAACTGAAATAAGAATTAAAGAAACATCATTGATTTGAAGGTGTACTAGCTACAGTAGACGAAGATCACCATTTCCATCTGAAAGCTTCTAACTATTCTGAGGTAGCGCCTCTTCCTCTTTATTCTCTTTCTCTTTTTCCCCTCCAATAGCCGTCCATCCTTCGCATTTATCATCTCACTAGAACGAGATTTGGAACAAGATGGTTTCGATCTATCAAGCCACTTTACATCGTAGTAGGACTGCTCGTCGCCTTCTTGGGATTCTAACTTACGGACCACCACCGTCTTCACTGGCCTCTTAGTGTCTCTGAAGTCTTCGTGTCTATAGAGATAGACTTCTTGCCCATTATCGAAGACTTCCTATAAAAGAACCAATGTTAGCAAGATACGGTATTTGATGGTGGTGCGAAATCTCTGGAGTGTTTGATATCAAAGAGGAGGTCAAATATAAGAGTTGAAAAGGGGGCGCTCGGTAAGACTTTTACCTCTTCTCGTTTTCCGGTTTGAGCGGATCTTTCTTCTCTGGCTCTCCTTTGCTCTTGAATTCTGTCCCAAACTAGACCCATCTTTGTCAGATCTCCCAGGATTTACTTTATGAAAAGACCTGGAAGTGTGTATGTACGCGAAGCAGAAGTTGAAGGGTATTTGCTTGTCTCCCCTTTCGATCAGAATTTTGGTTTAGAAAGATGCGAAGAAATCAGAAATGAAGTTCAGCTCCAGTAAGAGATGAATAAATGAGGATAGTTTTAGGGATCTCCTCATTAATGTTTTAAGAAGATTCGGAGCTTTCTATATGTTTGTGTACATTAAAGATTCATAATGACGCCTGATGTCCATGTATTTTAACAAACTGGTGAGCTGGGAAATCCAATATCAAGAGTGTGTATTTATGACGCCAGGTCATCAAGTATTCTTTGGATCTCAGATGAATCAAGAGTAAGCAAGGTCATGATTTTGCTGTTGGAAAGCAAATAAGTAAGTGACTATGACTTATCTGAGTATCAAAGGTTGGCAATGGTGAGGGGCTAAGCGAGAGAGGCCGTGTTTGACAAGAACGAGGTCGACGCTGTGATACGTCAAAGAAGGACAATAGACGTCAGCGATTGAAGAGAATACTTTCATCTACCTTCCACACAGACTTCCTGATTCTCGAAGTTTTCTAGATGTCTGATTCAAAATGTGCTTGATTGGAATCAAACAAGAAAATTCAAGAAAACCCCGGTGGAGAACTGAAGATAACATTCATCTCGTTGCGCACTGTTCTGATGCATAAAACAAATAAAGTTTATGAGTCATTTGTTTTCTTGAAGTCAATCTAGCTATATTGGACTAGACTGAATGTTGATCACAATTACCGCTAACAAATATCATGTACTTGGTGAAATGATATGCTCCTGTTTCACTGACTGTGAAATTCTTGATCAAAGTCCTCAATCAAGTCGCATAATCCAGATTTATTGTCTATCTCCGAGATTTACTTGCAATGAGTGTTCTTCGAAAAATCATCCAATAGATATATGTAAACAACAATCGTTTGAAAGCTACCAGAATCAATTGCTTAAAAGGATACATTTTGGTAAAACTTAACACATACAGAGAAGCGAGAAAACTTAGATCTCTGAGTCCTCTACTTAATTGGTCAGCGATCCGAGAGTTTTCTGAAATTGATTCACTCATAGTCGCCCGATGTGTCAAGAAAGAAATAGGGTAATCAAATTCTACTCAGCACCATCAGGGGCTCGCTTAAAATGGAAGGTGGGGTTGACCAATCAACTGCGTCGGCCAAAGAAGATAACCACCCAGCGCAGGTTGATAAGCCACGCTTGCCGATAACCAGTACTATCGTCGGCTCAGAAGCCGACAAAGATAGGGATCATCTCAAATTCACCCAGCTTACATATCTACAGCCCAGTTCAAATGCTTCAAAGACCAACTCAGAGGAATCATCAAAGCCAAGAAGATACATGTCTTTATACGATCTGCTAGTCCTCAATGGGCTCGTGGTAACGGACCAGGAAACAGGTCAATTCGATATCGCCGTAAAAGATGGGAAGATTGCGAAAGTCGTTCCCCGAGAGACTTTGGGACATGTAGAGTCTAAGAGAACGATTGATGCCAAGGGTGGAATGGTTATGGTTAGTTCGATTGATAGGGATTATTTGAAACATTTCTGATTATACAAATAGCCCGGAGGAGTTGATGCACATGTCCATCTGTAAGTCATGAATGAACTCTTTCCTAAATATGATAAGCGAAAGCAGCATGTAACGTGTAACAGAGCTGAACCTGCACTATTTGGGAAGGGAAAGAGTGCAGATGATTATGAAACTGGTAAGTGGGCTGAGCCTTCAATCATCGCTATTTCTTCATCCAAACTTCGTGCCAATTACAGAACTCCTGGACCGACGCATGTAGAGATGGGACGGTCTTCGTCCGATTTTGACTTCTTGGGCCAAGAATATATTGAAAAGCTTTCAAAAAGACGAACATCGAACACGAGAACTGACGACGTACAGGTTCACGCTCAGCTATATGTAGAGGAACCACAACCCTCATAACCTTTGCACCCCAACCCAAATCTCAACCATCCCTCCTCGCAGCCCTCGCCCAAACCCACGATCTCGCTCGAGATCAATGCTATACAGACTACTCCTTTCATTTGATCTGTTCCAACGCTGGACCTCTCGCATTCTCGGAATTCCCCGCCCTCCGTTCGGCTGGAATCTCGTCACTAAAAATCTATATGACCTACGAAGCCCTTCGACTACACGACTCGGAAATCCTAGATGTCCTATACGAAGCGCGAAAAAACAAGATCGTCACCATGATACACGCCGGAAACGGGAGCATCATCGATTGGACGATCAGGAAGCTAGAGGAGAAGAAGTTATATGACCCTAAGTATCATGTTACAAGTCATCCTCCTGTTGCGGAGGTGGAAGCTACATATCGAGCGATTTCGCTAAGTGAGTTTATTGATGTCCCTATCTTAATTGTGCATGTTTCGTCGTCCACGGCTGCGAGGCATATTTCGATGGCGCAGAAGAGGGGACTACCAATTTATGCAGACTTGTCCGCAATATCTTTTTCTTACAAGGGAAGATCTGGATAAACCAGGGTTCGAAGGTGCCAAATGTGTTTGTTCACCACCGCCGCGTTCTCAAGCGGACCACCAAGCAATTTGGTCAGGACTTGAAGATGGAACTTTCACTATTCTCAGTTCAGACCATTGCCCGTTTCTTTTTGACGACACAGAAATTGGGAAGAAGTCCGTCATTAGTGAAGAGTATCCGAATGGCCACTTCAAATATATACCAAATGGCTGTTTTGGCGTGGAACCACGTCTCCCTATAGCACTCTCGGCAAACCGACTGCCCTTGCAAAAGTTCGTAGAAGTATCTTCTACAAACGCTGCAAAATTGTATGGTCTCTATCCGAAAAAGGGAGCCTTGATTCCAGGTGAAAGTGATGCAGACATTACGATCTGGTATCCGGAATGGGAGATGGGAGAGTTTGAGTTGAAGAATGAGATGCTTCATCATAATGTGGATTACACTCCATATGAAGGGAGGCCAATAAAGCAATGGCCTAGGTATACTATTTTGAGGGGAGAGATAATGTGGGATAGAGACGGAGGCGGTGTAGTAGGCAAAAAGGGGGGGCAAGGAGAGTTTTTGAGGAGAGGCGTGAGTACATTAAAGGGTAGTCTGAAGGCTGGGTGGAATGTAGAAGACTTTTGAAAAGATGCCATAGTGTAAATCAATCATATCGTTTCCTTATATCTAGAAAATGTAGCCCCTAGTGTATTGAGAAGTCTCGCAAGATAGATGGCATCCTGTCAGCGCATACAGAACGAACCTTGAGACAATCATAACAGGCGCCAAACATGATACGTATTCTGTCATTTCTTTCCTCAAACCCGCTCGTGTTCTTACCTGATTTATACTATACTACTTTGCTCGCCGCGATAATCGATGAAGTGGAATTAACCAAAAGTGAGCTCGGCAGACTTGGTGAGCTTCTAGCGTTTCACAAAACATATGTACCGTGTCGTATAAAGATCCGCTGACGTAGTCTTCTTTACACTCGATACCCAAGTCGCCTTGCTAGAGAACCGAGCTATTAGAAGTCCTTCTAAGCGAGAGTGCTCGTACGGCATTGTATTCTTATTAAACAGTCAAACTCATACAGCTAAGCCATAAAGGCTCTCTTTATTCATTGACCTCTCATCATCTGAAATCTTTCACACTGTACTAAAAAATGACACTGTGATTCATACAATTTTCGGTCATATTACAATCACAGAAGTTCTTGTGAATAGAATGACTACTTTGTAATTCCCATGCATAACTATCTTCATTTCTGGAGATCCCCTTCTACCCCTAATGTTCATCTTCAACCCCGTAAAGGTCCTATTGCAAAAAGAAAAAAAAGAAAAAAAAAGAAACACCATCAAGACTTCTACAAACTTAGCAGCATTAAAGTCACCAAAAGAACGTAGAATCTACCAAGGATATACCGCACCTGGAAGCAGCAAGGCTTAGGGTCTAAAGAGGGCTAGTTACGTGAGAACTCGAGTTAGGGTTTTTATATAGACTTTACTTGTTAGAATGCGAGGGGACAATGTGGAATGGATAGGCGGAAGAAGGAGAGAAGCTAGCTAAAGGGCAAGTAGGGAGTCTTTATAAGACGACCCTGACCGAGTAGAAGCGTCTAGGGTACTAGGAATCTACCTCGGTAACCGAGATAGGGGGCTAGGCAGCGAAGACAGGAGTCTCATGTCGTAATAGTAATATTCTTATATTAATTCTCAAAGGATTTCAGATAACACTGTTACAGGAAGACACATGAGAGTTGATTTAATATAATCTGTGTTAAGAACTATTTTGGTTGATGATAATAATCTATTTAGCTAGGATACCTATATAAAAATAGATAGAGTTAAATAAGTCTATGGTTTTAAGATCTTGTAGATGTAAAGAACCACTTATGTGGGTGCAGTTAACCTTTAACCTATAGTAACTAGGTGAAAAAAAACTGTCTACTTTACCTTTTATATCCTAGTCTTCGCAACCCCTATCTCCTACTTACCTTATCCCTGTCTCTACTCTTGGAATAATTGGTCTATAAAGCTCTAATGGTTAATCACATATAGTAATAAGTATATATCTTAACTAATAAAGAATTTCTACTTAAAATTGGGGTGAATAATTATAAAACCACTTCAAACATCATTAGTGAAATTATTTCCAAATTCACAGAGTCCAAAACATTAATTACAGTAACTCGGGTTCTTATTGGTCAATCCTAGTATACGCTAATGACACATAGCATCCCATCAACCCCACCACAAAGAGCCGCTTGGCAAGGTATTCTTTGATGAAGAAAAGACTGCTCATGAGAGGTACGGGGTTGCTGTGAATGAGGGAGCGGTTTTCGTGTTAAGACCGGATGGATGGATTGGAACGGCGGCGAATTTGGATGTAGACGGTGTGGAAGAGCTTGAAGTGTATTTTGAGAAGATCCTCCTACTGTAATATTAATCAAAAACACAAGTTACCTTAAATTGTACTCTTGATGCTTGACTGGGTACCGAGGGCTATCGAGAAACGGTAATTCGAACTAGGTTAGATAGGCGATATTATACTCTAATCGCGATATCCTAGTTATTTATATTAGATAAGATATATGTATATATAATAGGATCTAAGGATTTCTTAGCGCAAACTCTATTAAAAAAACCCCCCATTTCGACTTCGGATTATAATTTCCTTGTGTATTTAAGGCAGCGTGGTTAATAAGCTAGGGAATAGTCGTATACTATTATTAGACAAGTAGAATACTCTTTTTCTATAAGCGTAACTTGATTTAGATAGTTTTTTATTGCAGTTATTTAAAGTAATTCAATCAATCAACTGAAGATTCCAGGACAGGTGAATTCAATTGTCCTAAAACATTTAAACATTTTGATACTTTATATTGACTTATGATAAAAGAGAGAAAAAGTGACTTTGATACTCTTTTTGTCCACTGAGAGACAGGTAAACGTGAATTCTGATTGTGTGACTACTCTGGCCCCCCCTGGCTTTTTTTCTCTCCTTTCATTAGCCAAACGATGCATTAGACAATTCCGAAGTAGCTTACTGAAACTACTGGCATATCTGGAATAGTCCCTTTTCAGAATCCTCCCCTCCAGTGGCCCGACCCCCGACCCCCCACCCCCGAATCTGCTTCATATCCTTCACTTCCAGCAACTCCCAGCTCAGCTCAACTACCGATTTGAAGCGACCCATTCACCCAAACTGCCCTGCAACGGAAAAGGCGGAAGGTCAAAATCAGCCCCCGCAGCACTCTCAAGCCATAGAGCCTTCGCATACTCGTTTTTCTCGGGGTGAGAATACACAACTGCTTCTACCATTGGAGCATCCGCAAACGTGACTGCAGTGGGCTTCTCCAGACAGATCTTGATGCATGGGAAAACCCACGTATCCTCCGAGTTCTGGGCCTCGGTACGGGTGTAGGGGATAATGAAACAAGAGATGATTCTTTCGCCTAGATGTTTAGCTAGAGATTCCAGGGTTCGGAAGGATGATTCTTCGATTGTCTGGTGCACATGTTAGGTTCTAGAGATTGGAGAGATAATGAGGGGAGAGTACCTTGGATACGACCTGTTCCAGCTCATTATAGGAGTCTGGTAAGTGGTCCCATTGCTCGATGCAAACATTTGCGATGACTAGTTGCTTTGCTAGTCGCTCATTGGGGTTGACGCCAATCAGAGTTGGGATTTTGAGATCATGTAGACTAAGGACGAAAGAGGTAACGCGAACAATTTGAGGGCCGAAGAATGTAGATAGCGTTAGACTGACCCGAGAACCAAGTAACGAGGATTTAGGCAACATAACTCGGACCTCCAAACAAGTTACGGCTGAGGGAGTAAGAAGTGGTCGTCCGAGATGTTTGTGGGTTTCGGCTTCTTCGTCGTTAGAGCGAATCAATTTGACCCCAATAAGGGTGACAAGTGCACTGAGAGCTGTGGCTTCTTTCTTTTCTTCTCTGGGATAAAGGTCCGTAGGGGTGTCGGAGAAATATCGACAAGCTTCCAAAACTGCCTTGCTCAGAGTCCCATAATGAACTGTACTGTTGGTAACTTCATCCTGCGCCGAAGCCGATTCGAAAGCATGTCGCAAAGACACTGCAACGGAGACCAAAACTGGTTGCTCTTTATCGTAACGACCCCAAGCATCTCTGGCAATTTTCATAGACGTCTGGAGATTTCTGACATGAATCTTAGCTGGTGGTTGACCAACAAGGCTCTGCAGTTCCCAAGACGGTAGTAGACTGAACCTTTCCTCAATAACGGGAGGATCCAGGTCCATCGTGCGTACCGTTGTCGGTGGTAATCCCAGGAAATGAAGTGCTCGCTGTATACACCAAGGGCGATGATTTTCTAATCGTCACAGGGGAAAGTTGGAAACCAGCTGTACCTTTCCTTGATGTGCTATCGAGTAGAGGTTGTGCTTTTCAGAGTCAGGAGCCTAAAATGGGATGAGCAAGTTGTGGGCAGTCACATGACGTAACTTATTCTTTTACTAAGAAGCAGATGGAAACATTCTGTTCATCCCATGAGTTTTGAAGCTTCTACCATCCGAAGTTAAGGTCAAGTTCGAATTGTGTTGTTGGAGATTGAAGTGGGTGGGGGTTGTCATGAACGGAATGCCAAATCTATCAGGGATCAAGCAGGCATGGCGCAGAGCCATCAGAGCGAGCTATCTGTTGTAGTCACCTCGAATAAATTGTTACACACCAGAAGACAACTTTCTCGAAATCCGAGTAGTTGTCCAAGTACCTAATTAAATCTACGATGAAGCGATATCGAATCCTGATAATCGCTTTCTAGCTGCGCACACCATAACTCCAAGCCCAATCCACCCGTCCGACCTCAAGCGCCACGCTAAACCCATATCAATATAATGCCATCCCAGATCTATTTCTTCATTTCTTTTGTGCACGGCGGACAAATCCATGTACCAACTGGCTCGCTCTTGAGCCCAACACAGGTCCAATGAAACCACTCATATGGACATTTGTGGTTATCGCAAGCTACCATGTCACCGTAACTCACGCTTTGACATGTGCAGTATTTTCTATCGTCGGCGCCATCGTCCTCGTCGCCATCCGCCATCTCTTCATCGCCATCATGTCTACCCGTAGATGTGCCATTTTCATCGTCATCGTCCCCTGAACCGGATTCTGCGTCGCTCAGTTCGCTGTCATTTGAAGCTGATGGTGAGTTCTTATTTCCAGTTCGCTTGACCCTACTGAGACCTGATTTTGTAGGTTTTGCCTTGCGTGGAGCTCCACTCTGTCTGCTTCCTTGAGGAGCAACTTTCTTAGTTGCAGCTTTCTGTGACGTCCTTGGTCCAGCGCTCCCAGCCCTACCCAGGGTTGGTGTTCCAGCTCTTGGTGTACCGGGAGTCAAGGAAGCGTGACGCGCAAGACCACTTGGTGGAAGTACAATGTTTGTATTCAGTCTTTGTCTCTTGTTTGCACCAGCACCCAAGGAGGTCTCGCGAGCTTGTCTGTTGAGTAATATAGGAGCAGCCGGAGTAGCGGGGGCAGATGATATGCTGGGTTGGCGAGCTTGGACATGACCAGGCAATCGCTGAGGGTATTGATTTGGATGTCGTGTGTGTACGGGCGCAGTTGCGTTCGGAATCTGGCCCAAGGGCATTGCAGCGGGTTCTGCGCGGGTAGCAGCAACACGTTCTTGTGCTTGTGGGCGAAGAAGTGAGGGAAGATCTTTATCTGCGGATAATTCTCCTCTATCCTGCAAGTCCTTGATGTGCCTATCGATATTCTTCGTATGTTTATCCAGCTTCTCCTGTGCCTTCATAGCCAACGCGAGCTTTTGTTCCTGTAGTATTTGCGCCTTGTCATAATTCTCCAGTATCATCCTGCTCAGTTGTTCCTCTTTGGGGTTGGGCGTATGGCCACCATTGAGTTTGACCCATTTCTGGATCTGGCCATCGTACTTGGTGATGAGCGTGAGACACTCCTGCATCTGTTTGTCCTTCTCTCCAATCTCCTCGTTCATGAAAGCTATTTCATGATGCAGGTTCGCGGCTCGGTTGGTCCAGTCGTCGAGCACAGCGGCAGCATCTTGGTGCTCGACCAGCGGCATCCTGCCGCGGTTGAAATCGATGGAGAGATCGTCTCTGGGCATGATTGTTAATGGCGGTTGCGGTATAAGAGCTCACAGTGCGCCGAACAAAAAAGTGGAGGGTGAGGGTGGGGTTCAGGGATGCAACAAGTCAAGGGACAGCAAAACGGCAGACTCAGAGTTGGACTTGAAATGCAGGATGCGGGCAGGTCGCACAGTGTGTAAAGTGTCGCTGCGCTACTTGTACGCTGGGCTGCTGAGTGTTCGGTGCTCACCTCGAAAGATAAATTTTGGGGCTTTTTCCCCGCCTCGCGCTTGCCTGGGCCTGGAGAGTGGATACCCGCCCCGTCGGTTCAGGTACAGATAGACGCGAGTTTTCTCAAATCGCGTGATGCGGTAGGTAGTGATACCCCCGGGGGCCCTGACTCTGCTGGACAGTGAAATTGGATGGCAGGGGATGGAATAGGGAGAGCGTCGGGTGGCTCGCGTGGTTGAGGAGATGACGATATGGTCCACTGTCTACCGTTCCGAGTGTGCTCGAGTACGCGCGATGGTAGCGTGGCGCCCGCGCCTCAAGGTCCACGGGTTCCTTTGATTCACTCTTTGCCGACCTCGGCAGCGCTAAGAATCCTATCGGCCTCCCATCGGCCTCCCATCGGCTCAGCCTTGTTGACGCGCTTCAGGAATAAGGTTCTTCTCTCGGGAGCCTTGCCCCTTCATCCCCACACTCCAGCCTCCTCCCACTTCAACATCGTCAACACCACCGACTCGTACAAGTATTGATCGCCACCTTCTCACGCCTTCCAATAAACTGCTTCCAGAGCCATCCAATACTACTTAATTCCACGTTCAAGCGCCATAAATCCTTTGCGACAACAAACAAGCTTCATACTCCAACTTTACCATGATGGCATTGGTCGCATTACGTCCATGAATTCGGGGTAATCACAACGATTTAAGGCTCTCGACCTCGCCTAATCAGGCTTCCAGTCGTTATCCTCACACTATTTTCGACAGCTATCTATTTTTGATCCGTTGAATCGTCAGACGAGAAAGAAACTCTTACGCGCCAGTGTCCAATCTAGTTGGTACTCGAGACCCCAACCTCGAATCTTCCTAGCATTCGACCATTTCCTCTCTACTCGCTGCGCGAATATACGTCATTACCAGCAAAACTTCGAAGGCCCTTCATAATGTCATTCAACAATGGCATTGTCCAAGAATACTGGCATCCATTGGGTCAGCAATCAGACGCAGAGAATGCGGAAATGCTGAAACAAGTCAACAACCAGATAGAGAAAAATGGAATAGGCCGGCCAAAGGGGTACAATGTCTCATGGCACTCGAATCCAGATATCGAAAAGCATCACTTTGGACATGCGCATCCAATGAAGCCATGGCGGCTCACTCTGGCCAAAGGGTTAATCATGTCATATGGCATGCATGCTGCGATGGATACTTTTGTCTCGAGGCAGGCTACGAGGGAGGAACTAGAAGACTTTCATAGCGACGAATACCTTGACTACCTAAAAACAGCCAAGGTGGCAGCTCCAATCGACGATATTCCAGTAGACTTCAACCTTGGTGGATCGGATTGTCCTATCTTTGAAGGCTTATTCAACTACTGCTCAATGTATGCTGGAGCCTCGATTGATGCAGCACGAAAACTTTGCAACAACGAATCTGATATCGCCATTAATTGGTCGGGCGGCCTACATCACGCCAAAAAGGCCGAGGCATCCGGATTCTGCTATGTGAATGATATTGTTTTAGCAATACTGCAATTACTGAGAAAGCACCCTCGGGTGTTATATATTGATATTGATGTACATCACGGAGACGGTGTCGAAGAAGCATTTTGGTCCACGGACCGAGTAATGACACTCTCCATACACAAATACGATGGACTAAATTTCTTCCCTGGAACAGGTGATCTCGACAGGACAGGACCAGACAGCGAAGAAAACCCAGGTGCCCATCACGCCGTCAATGTCCCCTTAGCAGATGGTATTGACGACGAACAATACGTTTGGCTCTTCAAAACCATTGTGGGAATGTGTGTAGAGCGCTTCCAACCCACAGCAATAGTGTTACAATGCGGCGCCGATTCTCTGGCTGGGGATAGACTAGGTCGATTCAACGTCCAAGTCCAAGGCCACGGCTCATGCGTCTCCTACTGCAAATCCCTCAACATCCCTCTCCTCCTCGTCGGCGGCGGTGGTTACACCCCTCGAAACGTCGCTCGCGCATGGGCACATGAAACCAGCATCGCCATCGGCTGCGACGCGACCTTAGATCCCATCATCCCCATGCACACACCCTACCGACAACACTTCCGCTACGACACCATCTTCCCGACCTTGGAACAGATCCTCGCAGGCGAAAACCGCCCCAATCGCAACCCGGACAAGAAGATCCGGGAGATCATTGCGTCGGTGACGGAGCAGTTGCGGTTTGTCAATTGTGCCCCGAGTGTGCAGATGACGAGTATTCCACCTGATCTTACGTCTTTCAAGGATGATGTTGAGGATCGGCTGAGGGAGGAGAAGGAGGAGTATGATAAGGAGTCGAGGAGGAATAAAGAGCAAGGTCTTGGGGTGCCGATGGAGTATTGAGAGGTTAGGGTTGGAGACTTTTTGCGGCGTTTAGGGGTATAGTGGGATGTGTGGCGTTTCTACATGGGAAAAGATGGGTTGTGTTGGGCTATATAGTAGTGTAGGGATTGTACATACTTCAATTCTAGATCATGGAATGTCAGGTTCTGTACAAATTTGGAATCTCATCTCTCATCTATTCATCATCTCTCATCTCATCTATTCTAAACTGCCTTCCAAATCAGAGTCTCGCTCACTATGCAGACAACGCTTGCTGATCCCAAAAAAATGGATGGACTTTGAAAACAAATCCACCTTGAAACTTTTGTCCTGTGCGGTACTTTTTCTTCTTCTCGCTAAATATCAAGATTCTCGGCGAGTCGACTTAGGGGTATATCGCCATTTGTGATCTCTCGTATGAACTCGGGATCTGGATCGAAGAGCATGACGTGGAAATGTTCGACGCCGCGGACGGATTTCAGGGCACTCCAGTTTTTAAACCATATTGTCTGTCAATAATTAGCCCTCATCCTCTTCCCATTTCCCATTTTCAAAAGACGACATCCAACCCGCAAGAGAATGAGAAATGAAATTTGAAGGGAGGGAGAAAATCCGTACATTTTCCTCTCCACATTTCGCGGCAAAGGTTCTCTGGACAAACCCGTCGATTTCCCGACGCACCTCCCTCTTCAACATCCCCGTCTCAGGATCATCCTCGAGTTCGAATTTCGTCCAAACAACAAGATGGACGATCCGCTCATCAATCCCATACGGCCAGTCATTCCACAAAATCTTCCACTCCCTCTCATCCCCAAACAATCCCTCCTTCTCCAAGCCCCTCTCTACCTCCTCCCCACCCCCCTCCCACCCCA